ACTCAGATTTAAAAATGTCAAGGAAATGAATTTTTTGGGGGGGAATAAAAATAGTTATTTATAGAGGAGGAAAGATGTCATTAGTTAATACAAGTTAGTTGATCATTAGTTTTTACTGTCAAGATTGTTGAAAATGAAAAATGGGAGAAAAGAGAACAGCAGCTGGAACTATCAAATGTTCAAGAGCTATCAATCTGTTCCTCTCTAGGACAAAAGGTGATCTGCATGTCTAGCACTAACAGAAACTGATGACATGATTTAAATTTGAGGCAAAAGTAAGCTAAAAAGAAAATTTCATGTCACTTAGAAAGTGAGTTTTAAAAAGTTTTACAATAAATTGTCCTTAAAATGAGTACTTTAAAAATCATATGAGGATAGATCAATATTCATATTGGATGCTAAATCACTGAATAGTTGAATATATGACAAATTTTGCAGTAGTTATGCCTATAATACTGCTAAAAAAGAATCCTTGTGTTAGGAGAGTTGTGGATCATTAATAATGATCAGGGGAGAAAAGTCATTAGGATAATATATTTCTTGTGGAAAAATTAATTGAATTTCATCCATTATTTCCCGGCCAGAGCTACTATATTTAAAATTAAATTATAGAGGATGTAACACACCTCTGTGGGTTTCTGTAAGCAAATACCAACTTGTTTTGGAAAACAAAACTGGAGTGGAAAATGGAACAGAGTTATAACAGATACAGGCTGTGTATGTTAGGTTTTCAGTATTGAATTAGAGGTATGGAAAAAGTAAATCCAGAGTTTTACTTTCTCTCCCTCATTCTGCCTGACTTTAGAAGAAAACAACATTTCCAAAGTAAAATCCTTTTTAAACATAAATACAAGCAATAGTAACTGAGTTCCTTTAGAAACATCTGTCATTATCAAGGTCAACTAGGCTGCTCACTCTGTGAGAAAATAGTTCAGTCATCACTTGGTTGTACTTGAAGAAAGAAAATACATTCAGTTTCTAAATTCAATTTGAGACAACTTCTAAATTCAGATTTTTTTATTGGCAGATTAAAATCACTGGGGAATTTTGTGGGCTTTCTGTCCCTAAGCAAACCAAGAGAACCTATGGCATTTTTGTTGGGAGCTTGGTTTTATACCTTTACAGCCTGACAGATTTTTATAGCTTGGATTTATTTGCAAGCAAACACAATAAAAGATTTAAGACAGTAATTTAAATTGGGAGTAACTTCTTCTGAAGAAAGTAAAAATCCTTTATTTTTGGGTTAATAAAATGGCTACAGAATTAAACACAAATAGAACTCAATTTAAAACTTAAAGCTTTTTCTGTTTGCTTGAGCCCAAGTGCATTCAAGCTATAAAGGTTTTGCAGAGTAAAGTGCAAAATGGCTTTCCCAAGGTACCCTTTGATTTTATTTTTTTTTTCCCTGGCCTGGACTATGGACAGAAATCAGTTTTTTAAATCCTTTAATAATAAAAAAGAGGGGGTTTGCTGGATTTCAGAACTACTTATGAACTTGCTGGAAATCTTCCTCTGTTTCTATAATGAGCTCACCAGAGCAAGCCCTCTTTGGTGCAAAGAGAGAAATTCCACCTGAACATGGGGAAGAATTTCTTTCCTGTGTGGGTGACCACATAGAACAGATTGCCCAGAGAGGGTGTGGAGAATCCCTCCTGGAGATGTTCCAGAACCATCTGGACTCAATCCTGTGCCCTGTGCTCTGGGATGACCCTGCCTGGCCAGGGAGATGGGGCCAGATGATCTCTGTGGGTCCCATCTGGGATTTTGTGCTTTTTGTCAGGTGTTCCTCATGTTTACCAAATTTATAAATAAGCCAGTGCAGTCTGAGTTAGAAGTGATCACTAATTATGATACTGTAATATGACAGAAGTCATAATCCTTAGTAAGAAAAATATTTCTGATGCTTCCTCCATTTTTCATGATGTTTTCTCCATTTTTCCTTATTGTCCATTCTCCTATAGTTCAGCTCAGAAACCCTGGAAAAGGATTTGTTTGCCCAAAACTTGGGGGCTTTTTTGCCTGCTATTTCAGTTTGCCTTAAAACTGTTTACTTCAAATTCCACCTACTTACGATTTTAAAAGAGATTTTTGCCATGTTAATGCCAGTCTTGTTTTGCGCTATTGCAGTCAAACTGCCACTATCACTCCTTGTTCCTGCTAGGAGGTGTTTATCAATGTACAACTCTTTCCACTGCAAGTCTTGCCTCAAGAAATCCTGTGGTTAAGCAGGCTCTTCACAAGAAAAAAAATTCAGCTCTTGTGCCAATCAAAAAAGAAACCAGCAAAAACTCATCATATGAGCTCTGCTCTTGTAAGGCTGGGGCTGGTTTAAAACTGCTCTTAATGTGGAGTTTTGAATGATTAGGGCATGGTGGGACAGTCTTTAGCAGCTGGAGCCTTCATTAGATGGATTGTGTGTGTCAGGAGGCAGGGGAGGGCAGCTGACAAGTGCAGCACCTGATCTGGCTGGGAGAGTGCTCAGCTGAAGCTTTTCTGATTGTTTGATGGCATAACAGTGCCACTGCAGATGGAGAATTGGGACAGCAGTGGGGTTTGGAGTGGCCTGTTTGCCTTTCCTCAGCACGGAAAGAGGAAGGGGGAAAATGTCACCTGTAAAGTTGGGGAGAAAAAAACAACAATCAGAACTACGATGTGTACTTGGAATTCAAGTGGCTGCACATCAAATTGCCTCTAACAGTCTGACTGCTGATTGCCACTATTCATGAAAAGTGGCTTTATTTCAGCTCTGAAATATCCCAGAGCAGCAGCTCTCCCCTTGAGTTTTCCCATCTGAACCACTGAAATGTTCTCTTTTAATTTCCTCTCTTGACCCTCTCCTCCCCCTCACTTCTTTCAACACCTATTTATCTACATTCAGAGGAATAGTGGGGAAGTAGTTTTCAGTCCATCTCATACACCCAAAACACTGCTGCAAAGTGCCGTCCTTAAATTTTGGGAGGAATCAGCTGACAGGGGAAGGTTAGAAGGCAGGGTAACATGACAAAGCTCAAAGGCATAGTGACAATTTTATGTGACTTCTTTTCAGTTAATCACATCTGGACAGTTAATCACTTCTGGACACCCAGGTCCTGTTAAACCACGTTACCTTTGGAGTTTGTCACCTCAGCCCAGCTCCTTTCTTTGTCTGAAACAACTAAAATCAGTTGACCATCAAGTTACAGTGATGTTTACCTGTTCATTGAGAAAATAAGAACTTGATTGCACTGAGGTGTAATCCTGATTGCTTGGACTGGTACTTCAGGCTGCATTTCATTCTTCCTCCTGATTTTTTAGAGATTCTCAGTTTATTGTTACTTGTAATCCTCAGTTGAAGTTTTAGTACAGTCCTAGATCAACAGAGATGGGCTTTCAAGTGGACAGTGTAAATTGTAAATAAATCCTGCATTAATGATGCGGCAACCCATCCTAGGAAAATACCCTTTCATTCCATTGCCCTTTAATGTCTCTCTTTTGTTGGCCATTGAATCCCATCCAGCTCAATCCCATGGGTATTTTAAATCAGATGTGCTTTCGGGAACGTAGCAATAGGAATGTTAATCACCCCCACGGTGCTGACAATCTGTAATGGTTTGAGTGGGGCATCCTTTGATGCTGTGTGGTGTTAATGATAGCAATAATGAGCTTTGCAGTTGACCACATCATTTGCCTTGAAGGATCATTTCAGATAACAAAAAACAGAGGTTTGTTATGCAAGAGCTAGTTGTTCACACACACAAACACCATTTTCCATCCCAATAGAGAAGTTATTTATTGCTAGGAGACAGCAGCTTCTTCTATCCCAGGGATATGTTGTTGCTAATGCTGTAGAAAGCCTCATATTTCCAGACACATATTGTGAGTAATCAAAATTTGAGAAATTACTTCATTCTGAGCCAGGTGTAAAATTACAATGGGAGATATAAATGCAAGTCCCTGTATAATCCCCTGGGTTCATTGGTTCCAAATGTTTAAGTTCTCTTCTTTTTCCCTGTATTCTTATTTGCATCTGTCACTGGATTGCCTGGGAGCTGATGGGTAAACTTCCTGTCTAAAATGCTGATTATGTGATTAAAATTACTGATATTTTCATACATGCCATTTTGTGCTTTCTGACTGTATACTGTGTAACCAACACAAGGGTTTGTACTCAATTATGAACCAAGTATTAAGTGACAGGTGCTGGTAGCATGCCTGCTCTACATTTTTCATTTTTATGTTTCTTGTGTGTTCTTTCAAAGCCTCAAGTAATACAATGTGTTTTCTGAGTAATTGTAATGCTGCTTTAGGAATAACTTTAGAGCTCCTCAGAAGTTATCAAAAAATTCTCCACCCACCAGCCCTGGCTGATGACTGAGCCTGGTTAATAGATTGCCTCTGATCTGGAGTTGCTACCATATAAGATGGAATATCTGGAATATCATTCAGTAACCTGAACTGGAAAATTAAAGAGAGATTGCAGCTGTGTGATGGGCGAGATGGGAAGGGTTGTAACAAGAATCCTGTCCTGCCCATATTGCTGCAGGAAATGCTCCTGGCTCCTCTATAGTAATATGTTTTACAAAACACCCTTAGAAACAATTGGTTGTCCCCATATCAGCACTGATACTTAGGGGTTAAAATCAATAGGAGCTTACTGTTTAATCCAGTTTCTGTACCTTGCTCTGGAAAGTGGAAGGGCTGGACTTTGTATCAGATTAAGATGAGTTAGGGTAGATTGAGGCTTAAGGGTTTTCCATCAGAATGTAAATATTAAAGATAGACAATTTTAATTTTCTCTCTTGACCCTCTCTTTGTATTATTTAATTTTTATTTTCCTGATTCTATTTTAAGTTGAATTCTAATAATTGTTGTTATTCACTAGCACTCCAGTTTAGCCCAAGAGAATACTGAGAATGTAACCTGTTTCTGTGTCTGCTAAAAGCTCAGATTTCATTTGATACTTTTTTATTTGTTTTCTTTGCTAGAAGATGGACATTCATATTTGTGACCTTGTTTTCCAGCACCTCCCAGATGGCTCTGCCCCAAGTGCACACGCTGAATTTTATCTTCTGCCAGACCCTGGTGAGGTCAGTCGAAGGAAAACAAGGACAGCTCCAAAAGGCTCTGACCCGACTTACAATGAACTTGTGAGTTCCCTTCGCTTCCTTCCACCCTTTCTTGTTTCACAGAATCCCAGAATGGATCAGGCTGGAAGGGCACACAGTGGGCACCTGGTGCCACCTCCCAGCTCCAGCAGGGCCATCCCAGAGCTCACAGCACAGCAGTGTGGCCAGGTGGGATGTCTGCAGTGAGGGACACTCCACACCCACTCTGGACAATCTGTTCCAGTGCTCTGTCACTGCACAAGAAAGTTCTTCCTCACATCCTGGCATCAGTTCCTCCTGTTGCCTCCTGTTCCGTTTCTGGGCCCTGCCGAGCAGAGCCTGGTGCATCCCCTGAGCTCTCCCTGTGCACACTGGCAGACATGGATGAGGCTTCCTCTCAGCTGTCTCTTTTCCAGGGTGGACAGGCCCAGCTCACTCAGCTTTTTCTCATGAGAGAGATGCTCCAGTGCCTCACCATCTCCACAGCCCTTCCCTGGACTCACTCCAGGGGTTCCCTGCTTTTCTGGGTCTGTTGAGCCCAGAACTGACATGGCTCTCCAGATGTGCAGGATCACCCCCCTCAACCTGCTGTCAGTGTTTTTCCTAATGCACCCCAGGACCCTTTTTGGCCATGAGGGCACACTGCTGGCTCGTGGACAGCCTATTGTCCACCAGGACCCCCAGGTCCTTCCCAGGCCACCCACAACCCGCACAGGTGCAACTTGTTTTATTTGCTTTGCCCACTCTTGAAATAAAACAACAATACAGCATTTTAGCAATGAGGATGACCAAAATGAAGGAATGTATCACAAAAAGGGACGACTGTCTGTTTTGCACCTTTCTCAGAAGTGAAGCAGTGTCTTTTATGCCTCTCTCTTCAGGAAAGCAGTTGGATTTTTCACAGTGCTCTGTCTCACCCCATAACCACAGTTACATGTTAGCCAAATGAGGCCAAGCATCATTGCACCATAACCCAGCAGTTCTGAATGCAGATATGCACAATAGCATGGAAAGTATTAATTGAATGGATGCTGTTATTCAAATTAACATTTGAAAATTGCTTGTCACTGTCCTTAATGATACCACAAGAATAAATAGCCAGGTTCTTTTTATGTTAAAATGCCATCAGTTCACAGCTATATATTATTATTTCACACATCACTGAAGTGCTCATGCCTCTGGGGTGAAAGGAAACATTTGTATGGAAAAACATTTATGGCAGAATGGGAGGTGGTATAAAGTGTGTTCATTTGTAAGGGCAGATGAGATTGAAACAGTAGGTGGGATTGGAGATTATAATTATTGCATGTAACAAATCTCCTAAAGATCTCAAAGTAATTTACAAATGCTCTTTCAGCAGGCTATAAAGTAGAAGGCATGGAAAATATTACCACTCCACCCTGTTTCGCAGATAAGATATGATAAAACTTAGGTTAGTCAGCAGAGTCTGAGTGCTTATCTCTTAGTTTCTCACTCCTGGAGCTCTAATATTTCCCCTTTCCCCCATCTGTTAATTACAAAAGTTGCCTGCTCACACTGATGACTTCCAGCATTCTGTAAGAAGGCTCCCTGAGTAGTATTGCTGCTCACAGCTGAGGCAAATTTCCTTCCCCACAGTACTGCAGTGGAATAACAAGGAAGTTACAAGGAAGTTGGCTTTATTTTTTTGTCCTTTCTTTCTTTTTTTTTTGCTATCATAGTGGGATGAATCTAATTAATCTGTCTAAAGAAACTCCTTTGCATTTAAAGGACATTTAAAGCAAAGGAACATAATACAATTATATCATAACATTCATTAGTAAGGTATCCAAAATGGACAACAGATAAGAGCCAGCCAGCAACACTGGAAGACAATTATCTTTCAAATTGTACTTAGATCCTTTTGAATGCAGTGAAATCCAAAATCCTGTCTGCAGTCAGTCAGTAGTCGCTGGAAGGAAATTTAGTTGTGGTTAACAAGTATTCCACTGCCATTAAAAGAAATTCCATGAAAACTTTAATGTCCTTAATCAAAACTGAGAGCCTTTTTCCCAGATGCTCAATCTTTTTCACTGGGAAGTGCTAATCACAGTGGGGACATATGGTTCCACTGAACCTGGCCATTTCCAACCCAATGCCTGTGCTTTAGCAGCTCTGCTCCTCCATATGTGATGTCATTCTGGATGCAGTTTCTGTCCAAGGCTGGTAGACTGAGGCAGAAGCTGCCCCAGGGAAGAAAAACTACTAAAAATATAAGTCAGCTGTCTCTTAAGTTAGTTACTGTCCAAAACACTGTATACAGAAATGTAGCAGCCTTTTTTATGAGTTCATAAGTTTTTATTAAATCCAAATGGCTGGAAGGAAGCTGTATATTAATTTCTTTCTTTGTTCCAGACTGAGAAAAATCTGAAATGTGCTTCTCTTGGGTATTTTTGATTTTAGTTTTGTACTTCTATTGCTTATGACTGCCTACAGCAAATTATCAACCTTGTAAAACTGCTTTTTATGTTTGTTTTTTATTCGTGTGTGAGAGTGAAGATGCGAAAGTCCAGAAGGGCTGACAATGAAATGAGTTACAGCAAATGTTTTGGAGTGGCATTTAGCAAACAAATCCTTCTTTTCTCCTGTGCCTGTATCTGGATTTTGGAATTTGTTGCATTCACAGTAGTTAGTGTTATATTGCATTGAGAAGTGGTGGTGGAGAAGAAGAGGAGTAACACAGAGAAATGGAATACAAAGATGAAATGAAGGCAGAGCAGCCCCAGCCAGTGTGATGGAAGGGGAGGAGGGGAACTGCACCAGGAGCCACAGCCACTCCCTCCAGCACCATGCATCAAAACTACTTTGGATTAATTACCAAATCCAGGAACTGTGCCATGGCTACCTAGGGAGAGGCAACTGTCCCTCATTTGTGATTAAAATGTCATTAGACTCCTGTAGGTCAACAGTGTTTCTCTTTGGAGCCAGGAATAGTTGAATTCCAGCCCTACCTGTCCCACTGATTTGCTGCATGGCCACACATAACTCACCTCCATCTGATCTCTCTGTGAAAAGGCAGGCAAATATTCTCACTGCACAATTATTTCAGAATTTAACTGTCCCCAAATTCTGGCAGGTGGCATTTGTTCTATCCAGTAATTAATTGTTTTATCCACTAATCCACCCTAATTCAGCCTTCTCCAGACCTTTCTTCTGTCCCTACATCCTGATGATAATGTATACCTTACTCCAGCTGAATTTGCAATACCATTTTAGAAACAGTTTACTGGGACTATTTGATAACCATCCACCCTGCACTGCAAAAGTTTGTCATTGCTCAAAGATTAAAGCCTATTTTTGGCCAAAGATTGAAAGTTGTTCATTACCACAGTTCAGTTTCTTAGCATTTATGGCTGATATTGTGTAGTTTTTGGTGGTTTAAAGCAACAGCTGGTACCTTTAATATATTGGCAAAGAAACAAGGCAGCTTTCTTTGGTAACATTAGCATTGCCTCAGTGTCAGATCACAGATTTATTCTAAATTGTATTATGCTTACTGTGCCTGTCCTTGCTTTTCAGATTTTCTTCATCATCTCACTTTTATATCAGTGAGTGAAAGGGAAGCTGTGAAATTTGTAATTCACAGACAATTTAGCAAAATAGGCACAGTAAACGTGAAAACCAAAAAGCACCAGGTGCCAATTTCAGGACAGCCATCCCAAACTATTATTTCCAAAGGTTTTTAAATGGAAAAGGAAATGTTAACCCTCTGGTAAGACCTTTCTTGGTCTTGTTGGTGCTTTCTGTGAGGGTTGCCTGGTGTCCTGTCCATTCCATGCTCCCTGTGAAATTCCTGCTGTTGCAAGTGGGAGTATAGAGGGGGCTCATCAGTCCAGCCCAGAGATTCAAGCTGGAGGGGCTCAGTCTGCCTATCACTCCTCCTTGGATACAGATTCCATGGAAAATCCAAGCAGGAAAATGCCTGTCAGGCAGTTTCAGTTTCCCATTCTCCTGAAGTGAGAGAATGTCACCACGTTTGCTTTTCTAACAGCATAGAGACATTAAAATTTAAAGGGTTTTTCCACTGCTACTAAAATAGCAAAAATATTTCCAGCCATATAAATTTTAGCTTAAATGGACTTCTTTAAAAGGAGTTTACCTTTCAGGCCTGCACTGAGAGCATTCCCTCACAGTTTATCAGCTCACAGGCTGTTCGCTCAGCAGTTTTTATTGATGCAGAGACTGAAGCATGGGAATCTGTTCTGAGTGCAGCTGACTCTTGTTAGGTTATTGCTCCAGATTGTTTGGGTTTTTTTAAATTCAGAAAATACACCATTATAATTTCATACTTAATCCCAGTGTGTTCTCACAACATCAAGGTAATTTAAAAGCTATTTTAAATTTATAGGCATTAGTAATTTTTTAAGAGATGCTAAATTACTGTCTCATTTATTTTGAGAAGTATCAACAGCACTTCTGGAGTATCAGAAACATCTAAATTTAGTAACTTCCATTTGCTGAACTGGGTCCAATCTTTTCCAGTTTTCACAGAGAAAAGTATGAATACTGATTTTTTTTTCTCCAAGCATTGTTCAAGACAGGTTCCAGATGTATTTTCACATAATATTTTAAATAATTATTTAATATATAATATATATTATAATATATAGACTATATAATATATAGACTATATAATGTATCATTTTATATAAAATATAGCATATATGATATATAATGATATATTATATAGTATATATGTATATAATATCTTATATATTATATATTATATATTTACATTATTAAAACATAATGATATTATATATATATTAAAATAAATATACTATATGATATTATAATATATAATTTTAAATAGATATAATATATTATATATACTATATAATATATTGTGTATATTATAGATAACACATAACATATAACATATTTATAACATATTTAACACATAATATATAATATATATAATATTATATAACATATATATTATGAGTAGTATATGTATATAATAATTATATTAGGCATATTATATATAATTATATGTAGTGTATTATTATATAGTATATAACAATTATTATGTAATTTAAAGATTTGAAGTAATAATAATATTTATTTTAAAATAATCAAATCTCATGAGCCTAAGCTCGTGATTCTAAGGTAGAATCTCTTTATATAAACGAGATAAGGTCAAATGTATTTCTGAGGTAAATTTGCTAAGTTAAGTGAATTTTGCTCATGGTTAATAACTTACTATTCTGGATGGAAGTTTAAAGCAATTATCACAAAATTGGATTAGTCATCATCCTGAACGCTGCATTGAAGTGCTTTGCCTGTCACATAGATTAACAAATTTGTGTGTTTTTTCTGTTTCACTATTTATGATTTCAGATTGTCTATGACAGAGTCCCAGAGCTCCAAGGCCGTGTCCTGAAGCTTGTGGTGAAAAGCAAAGGAACATTTGTGGGAGCTGTTAACATTCAACTGAGCAATGTCCAGTTCAATGAAGAAAAGTGGTACCCACTGGGAAACAGTATAATTTAAATGTTCTCCAAGATGATTCAATTATTTGCCCACTAATGTTTCTTTATCCCATTTCCCAGGTTACATTTTGTCTCAGTTGCCCTTGAGAATAGGCAGTCATCTCCTGAGCACATATCCTAACATTTCTAACCATTGGCCTCTTGTCTTAAAAGTGCCACAGATTCCTGCCACAGATTCCTGCCAGTGTGGGTTTAAGGAATCACATCCTAAGGACTTGTAGCAACATGCAGGAAGTTCTTACGACAGCAATGAAGGGCTTGGTTTTGTTAATATTAAATAGTACTGTAAAAATACTGAATTCTGTACACATCAGTGTGTGGGGGCTCATTCTTTGCCCATTAATTCCACTGACTGTGTTGAAACAATGCTGATAATGCTGCAATTTATCATCACTGCATGTGATTTCACCAGAAAACCATGGGATGGTTTATATATTTCATATATTTCAGATGTCCAGCAAATTTCACATTAAATCTTACCCAATCAAGACTTTTGTTTTTTAAGAACTTTAAAAGTTTTGATACGATGTAACATTTAATCCAGGAGATTAATTTGTCATTAATATATGTCGTTGTTTCTTTTATTCTGACATCCAGGAAGCAGATATAACTGGTCATTGGTGTGAGGAAAGAAAAAGGGAAAAGCTAATGTTCGTGAATAAAGAGAATATATTGATTATGATCTTTCAGTGGGGTATTTATTTAACATCATGATATAACACAGATATTTGTTCAGCAGTCTTCCCACATTGCACTCCTGTACTGCAAAAGGAGTTCAAGTCAATACATGCATTGAATAGACCTCAGGGCTATAAAATATATGTTTATATATTAATATATATAATGAATAATAAATAATGAACATGAGTGGTTCCTTTTAATTTCACAGATGCTAATTACAGGCTCTGTTTTTCTCTAATTTGAGGAAGCATTTAGGCATGTCTTTAAGCATTTGGCATGTGAGCAGCCACAGGGAACTGTCCATGATTGCCAGACCCACTGACCATGTAAATAAACCTTGCCAGAGCCAGGGGCAGTTTTTTAAGGCGCAGGAGATGTGGTGATTTATGATCTGATCTGCTGTAAATTTTAAACTACCATATACTGGACAGAACTGACATTTCTCCTACCAGGTGGAAAAGTGGTCAACAGAGGGGTAATAATCCCAGAAGTGAAGGTAATTGCCTTCTTTTCCCAAAGGACATTTACATCAGTCTTCAGAATATAAAGCTTTATAAAGCTCCTGAAGTGGGACTTGGACTGTTAGCTAGGAAATTAAATAAGCTGGAGTTTTTCTCAGATCAAACCAATGGACTTGATCAGGTTTTATCTGAAAGTTCTTTCCCCAGTCAAACTGGTGCACTAAGATCCTCCTCAGTAAGGGGAGGTGAGGGGAACTCTGTTTGAATATTAATATTATTAGTCTATTCAGAGCTGTAAGAAACTGTAAAATATTTACCACATGCAAGGGACGTTGGCTGGCACACAGAATATCATCACTACAAAGATCTGGACACCAAAATTTTATGCTGTAGGCTCTCCTGGGAAACATATCAAGTGCCTTGTCATTCAAGCACAGAAAACACACTGAGAGCAGCTTACAAAGTTATCAAATTACCTGACCTTACAGTTCAGTATTGATTTTAGGTTCCTCTTGGTCTACTGTCTCAGTTTCCTTATTAAAACTATAATGCAATTTTCTAACAGTGCTATTTCCTGTGACATTTTCTAACCCTTGTTTACCACATGCCCTGATTTTCCATCTTAGAGCAACATTACATAAAACAGCATTAGAACAGCAATAAATAGAAAGAGCATTACAATGTCTTATAAGAACTGTCTGCAAACTTAAGCAATCATGTGTAATATTAAAGAAACTTGTCAATATAACATCCTTTTTATAAAAAAAAATTATATTTGAATAACAAATATGCCATTAATTGCATAATTAACAAATCTGCCATTAGTCTGTAGTCCTGTGGAAGGCCAACAATACTTCAGTTCTGAAAAGAAAATGAAAAAATTGTGTTTTATGGGCAAGATCTACACTGATAGCTCTGGTAGGCAAGAAGTTGTCCTCATAGCTCTTCACACACATAATCAACCCTGGCTTTTTCTAAAATTCCCTGGTTCTCCTCAGAGTGCTGTGTTTCCTGAGTTCCCTGCTCCTATGAGGAACATGGTTCTTTACAAATCAGCCCAGGAATTTTTATCTTGCTTTAGCAGCAGGTGGTTCAAGACTAAGGTAAGGAAAGGTACCAGTACTAACATATGGTTTTTTATGATTTTAAGTACTTTTTTTCCTCAAAACTATTTTTTCAGGTAAGAAAATGACAGTGGGGACAAGAGAGGAATAGCCCAATCAGAACCCACTTTTTAGAAATTTAAAGGGAACATTGTATGGGTAATTTTTTCTTGAAAAGGTACAATGGTAAAAAATTTTGTTCAAAACAAATAAAAAGGTCAATTTCACATACTCATATCCTAAAAAGTAACTTGATCTCTTGTATATATTGGACTATTATTCTCACTCAATAATTAGTCATAAATTTGAAATTTGCTTCAACTGACATTAACTGAATTTTAAAAATATCCAAAACCACTCAGCATTTATGAATTGTTTCTAAATAATCAGAGAATAATAGAATCACAGAATGGCTTGAGTTGCAAGGGATCTTAAAGATCATCTCATTCCAACCCCCTGCCATGGCCAGAAACACTTTGTAGGTTGCTCAGAGCCCCATGCAACTGGCCTTGGACACTTCCACTGGTCACTGGAGGAGGAGTCCACAACTTCTCTGGAAACCTGTGCCAGTGCCTCACCACTCTCACACTAAAGAATTTCTTCCTAATGTGCAATTAGACTTACTTTCTTTCAGTTTAAAACCACCCACTCTTGTCCAATCTCTATCTGTCCTTCTACTGGAAAGTTCTAGAAGGTCCTCCCTGGAGCCTTTTCTTCTCCAGGCTGAACAGCTCCAATCCTCTCAACCTTTCCTCACAGCAGAGGTGCTCCACACTTCTGATCATTTTCATGACCCTGCTCTGGACTCACTCCAAAATATCAACATCTGTCTTGTGTTGGGAACCCAGAGCTGAATGCATCTTTCCAGTTGGGATCTCCTGAAAGCAGAGCGGGAGGGTAAAATCATCTCCCTCAATGCTGTTTTTGATAGCAAATGTGGGCTATTTTCCCCTTTTTCAATCAGTGGGAACTTCCCCAGCCTGCCATGACTGCTCAAGTATGATGGATAGCAGCTTACGCCAGTTCCCTCAGGACCTGTGGATGTATCTCATCAGGTCCCATGGACTTGTGTGTGAAAAATTGATTTGTAAAGGGCTCTCAAAACCTGACTGAAAGCTCACACAGCCTTGTACATTTGTGTGCAAACTCTGAGATAAGGTGTGCTGACTTAGGAAGGCCATGGAATAGAGATGACATTGTTGAGAGAGAGATTGAACTAGAAACAAGTTTCAAAAGATGGTCTGTCAAAAAGACCAAATATTTTGGAGAATTAGAACTGTGAAACATGCATTGCAGCAAGGCCATGTAGGATAAAAAAGAGGTAATTTGAGTTAGAAGTATTAGCAGCATTGTGTGGCAAAAGCAAATAGGCTGAAAAACATTTATAAGGTATTGTAACCAGGAAATAGGGTTCATCCAGCTTCTGATGGAATGGTGTTGAGTTTTACATCTCTTATGTCTCACCCTTCTACGAGACTGATAATGGAATAAAATCTTTTAAAACACTTCTCAGTTACCCCATCTCTGTAGAACTGAGATTTTCCAACATTTGTGCATTTCAAAGCTCCTTAGATTTTCTCAAACTCAGTCTTCCCCTAGAGAAAATAGCAGTAGGGCCAAGGACAGTAGCCCTTGTCCAGGACACCCCTTCCATAAAAGCCCCACTGGCTTCACAAAATCATTGAGAATGTGCCAGTCTGGAAATCAGGCCCCTGGGCTCTTGGAAAGCCCGAAATGCTACTTTATTGAAGCAGGGGACAATCCCCCAGAATAATTTCTTCTGCAGAACACCACTAATAGAACCAAACATGAGCAAACAGCGATGCAGATTCCAGCTTGGTTCCATCTTTGGATAGCAGCGGAATGTTACGATAACCTGGAAATACAGGGACACCTTATTAGTGTATAAACCACAAGCACAGATATTAGAATGGAGTGGGTTTATGGTCATCTATGCAGATAAGGCATAATTAATGATTCTGTAAATAGCTCTTTAAAATAAAATGAAATTATACAGGACCTAAACACCATTTGTGCTATTTCTTGTTATATATATATAGTATTTCAATTCTGGTATTTTTAGTGACAGAGTGAAAAATTCTAGTGTTTTTCAGGATGTGGTATTTTTTCAAATGGAAGACTTTTAGCCCAGTGATATTTAAACATGGTCAAAGGTTACAATGTAATACCCAAGGTTAGGTGCTGCACACATTGTTCTGATAGCAAATGAAATCAGCATGTGAAACAGCAGTGATGGCACCTACAGAACGGTGCTGCAGCAGCTGTGCACTGTCCAGCTGAGGCAGAAAAAAATGAAATGTAACAACTCTGCAATGACATCTTACAAAGTTGTTTTCATATGAGTAATTCACTTTATTAGAGATAAGTCATGCCATCAGAAACAATGTGTTCATCTGGTTGGTTGAAACATTTGGAGAAGCTGTAGTTCTCAATTTCAAACATAATTCACTTACCTGCTTAGAAAACAAAACAATCTCTTCTTCAAAACCCCAGCCTGTATGGCTTGATATGACTAAATGTCCATTATTTCATAATAATAAACAATGTCACTTTTGATATTCTGTCTATGTATATATAACTCCAGGTATTTCAGTAATTCTGTGTTTTGTATCAGTATCTCTGTTTTCAAAACTGCATATTTCAAAGCCCCTCCTTAGGTGTGTCTGGTTGCTGTGGAGTCTTTGGGGCCCACACTAACCTGGGTTTGGAATTTCTTGCTTCTTTTATACAGAATCATAAAATTTTTTAGGTTTGAAAAGGCCTCTGAGATCATCAAGTCCAGCCTTTGACTGATCACCACCTTGTGAACCAGAGTGTGGCACTAAGTGCCACATCCAGCTGTTTTTTGAACACCTTCAGGGATGGTGATTCCAGCTCCTCTCTGAGCAGCCCTTTCTAGTGCTGAACAACTCTTCCAGTGACAAAATTCTCCCTGATGTCCAACTGAACCTTCCCTGGCACAATTTCCCCTTGTTCTGTCATTACACATAATTTCCTCTGGTATTTAAGGTTCAGATTCTGGGCAGCAGATATTAATGCTGGTCTCAGACACTTTTCATTTGAGATCAGTTTTTAAAGCATGCACACGATATGTGGAAGGCTTGGTTGATTTCTTATCCAAAGATACACTTCAAGGACTAAGATTAATTTCTGAAGACTCAAGTTCTAGCTCCTACCTACAGAATATTCTACAAAGTGTCCTGAGAGAAGTAAAACTTTTTTTTTTTTAATTGAAATTGCTCCATTTTGCATTAAATAATTAACTACTCATGGATGATAATGGAGGTAATGATTGAGTTCCTGTCCTGTATTAGCATTCTCCATGGCAGATTCACTGGCACAGGGACTGTAACAGAGAACTCCCCTTCTATTTGCCTTTAACTGCCCAGGTTGAGAATTTTTCTCAATTTCAGCCCCTCAGAGTATAGCTACATAATCACTACATGGAAAATCAAATTCCGCTACAGCTGGGCAGCAAACATTCCTCCCCAGTGGACTCTACAAGTAGCTGGGAGTCTGGTGCTGGGGAAAGGAAGGCAGTGTGGATATAGATTTGAATCCTTTCAAAAGAAAATGCAGAGGGAGGAAATGGCACGACTTTTTCTCACTACCTGACAAAGAAAATAAAAAGATGTAAGCAATGCTCAGCTTTTGGAAGCAACTTGCCCTCAGGGACACCTCAGGGATACAAATCCTAGGGACTGAGGGGCAGTCCTGTAGCACAGATTAAAGCAATTTGAGTGCTGAGGACTGAGACTGAAATCCTAGCTCATCCTTCAGCATTTTAGGCAGTTCTTCCCTTGTCTTCTTTTTGTGACTCCCTCTGCAATAATTATTTTCCTATTTCACTGTTTAGAGAGCCTTGGTACCTAAAGCAAAACCATTGTTCCAGACCTGGTTTCAGAGATCTCAATGGTAAGCATTGCAATAAATATTGAAATTATTTATCATTTCACTTCTTAGAAGGATTTTATTAATGGTTTCTGGGCATCCTGATGGCAAATTACTTTTTTTTTTTTAATGTTGTGTTAAGGGGCAATTTGTTTGGCATCAATTATAGTTTTTGTACCTAAACTTATTCCCTAGCATTTTTAATTACTCCACTGGAAATATTTCCTCAAAAATCTACTGTTCTTACTTTTCCAAAATATGAATGCCTAATTTGTGACCAAAATTAATCCTACAGAGACATTAAGCCACACTAAAACAGCCATCTAAAAAAGCCTCAATTAATAATTTTACAAGCACTTGTAAGCAGCAGTGCCTGATATTTGAATTTGTCTCAGACATTGTGAGTTGGTGAGTTGAATTTTCTTTCAGTATCCAGAAGTATACAAATAAAAGGAAAGTAAAAGGTTATCAGTGTAAAAATTTATGTTGTAGAAAAATAACTGAGCTCTAAGAGTAATGTCTTTGTTCTTGTATAACTCCTCAACCTCAACTAAGAATCACAAGCAGCTTTATGACTTCCAAACATGAGGAAAAAAAAAGCCATTTAAAATCCTGTTAAGCTTAATAAAATAATTCAGTGCCCGTTGCCAGCTCCAATGTTTTGCCTTCGCATCTTTATTCTCTAATAAAAGCTGTTTGTTTTGTCAGAAATAGCTTTGGAAAGCCAGTGTAGTAAACAGCCATTTTACATAAGCCTTTCTCCTTGGCCTATTGACTTCTGTGTCTGCTCTTTATGTGCAGCCTATTCATTACAAAGGTTCCAGGAACTCTACTGGCTTAACAAAAGAAACTCCAGCAAGAAAAATGCCATCTTTGGTCTAATTTATAACCATTGTTCTCCACTCTGAAAAGTTGCAGATAGGTTACCTGAGGGAGTTTTGGTGGCTTGTTTTGTTTTAATTTGATATTGGATTTTGAACTTATCTGAGTAGGAATTGCACAAAACTGCTGCCTTCATAGCATTCTGACTAGTCTCACTTCTTGCAATGAATTAAAATACCACCTGAGCAGTTTCCATCTAGAATGGAATACTGCAGTGAGAATAATCACCTGTAATTAACACTGCTTTGATTTCAACATCATGGATTTGCATTCAGAGAAAACAATTATTTCAAAAAACAGAGAGTGCCATGTATTCATTTAGTTACACAATCTCCCTCTAGAAAACAGGCATGATGCTGTACTCTCTCAATGCTATAGTAAAAATAAAAGCTTGGAATGTTGCAGATTTTTTAAGCTGTTACAGATGGCTCACATAAAAGTACTACCTGTATTCAGGCTCATCACAGGTAAAGTGTATTGGCCAAGGAAGTCCTTGTTGACCAGAGACACCTCATCCTCCACACAGAAGCGTATCATTGCCAGCTCTGGAACTTGGATGTTGAAAGAGAAGGTTTCATTCCATCTAGGGCACAAAGCTAAGGAAAAGAGAAAAGAAACAGGATTCAAATGTGATTTCTCTTTTTTTCTACTCAGTAACTGAATTATTTTACCTGTTATCACTAGTCTGAACTGGTAAAGAGTCATTCTTTTTCCCTAGATATCTGTGCCCATTCAAATAAATAACCAGACTCCCAGTGACTCTAGAGGTGAAAAAGCCTAAAACAGTTGGTGTCATCCCTTAAAAGAGAGCAAAATTGGCCAAGGATAGCCAAGTTAAGAACTTCTGCTCAACCTGAATTTTCCTATGGCCATACCAGTTTCATGCTTTTGCCAAAGTTTGTCCTTTCACAGTGAGTAAATAAATTCAGGTAGTAAAACACTCACTTGACTAGAAAGACAAAAAAAGAATGTGGAACAGAAGGGGTTACTTTGTCTTTAGCAATGTTCCTACAGAGAAAAGAAATTCAGGGGCTGATTTAAAACAGCAGCCATTTAAAAAAAAAAATAAGAAGGAAGCATAGAAGACAGAGATACAGAAAAAGGGAGATCACAGGGAAGTTGTAGTCTGAGACATCAAGAAGATCTATATTATAAAGATAAGGGAGTGCTCAAAGACAGCAACAAAGAGTACACACTTCACCTGTCAAGCAATTAAGGGATTACTCCTACTAGAAACTTCAAATGAGACAAGTGATGAAGTTACAGCAATTGCTTAAGAAAAAAAGTCTAAATTTACCAATTTGTCTATTGGTTTAGGCTGTGATAGGATTAATTTTCTTCATATCAACCCCTATGGTGCAGCATTTTGGATTTTTAACCCAAACAGTGCTGATTACACAGCAGTTTGAGCTGTTGCTGAGCTGGGCTCACACAGTGTTGAGATTTGTCTTTCTCACTGTGCAAAGCAGCCTCAGGACAGCTGAGCCCAGCTGAGCAAAGGGATGTTCCTTAGCAAGGGTGGCATGCCCACAGCTGGGGAAAGCAGGAAGGGAGTGCACTCAGTGTCTCTCTTCCCAAGTAACACAAAGCTCCATAATGAAGCCTTGTTTCCCTGGGAATGGCTCTACCCCTGCCTGCCCATGGGAAGTGGGGAATGCATTCCTTATTTTGATTTGCTTGTGTGTAAAGCAGCTTTTACCTATTAAACTGTCTTCCCAACCCATGGATTTTCTCATTTTGGCCCTCCCAGCCCTCTTCCCATCCAGCTGGGGGAGAGCAGGCAATCAGCTCTGTGGGGCTGAGCTGCTGTCCAGGATGGGCCCACAGCAGTGTGCAAAAAAAATCCCAGCTGGGAGTTTGTGCTTCCTTAACCTACCAGTCTAGAAAAATGGCACACAGAATTAACTTCTGCTACAGATTTTGTGCCAGGAGATCCTAGTCTAGAGAGAAATAATTGCATTTTCTATAACAATTCCTTGGTGATTCCTTATAAAATGTTGTTGTGCTTTGTTCACAGCCAAGAGAATCAGACTGCTGCTCACCATTGCTTTTTATAACACTAGATCTCTTTTTGGCTTGATCCTCTGGCACACCATAGATTTCTATCTGCACTGTGGGGTCAGCTTTGTTGGTCTTTGACATGGCACTGGGTGGTAACTGATGGCCACTGATCAGCTGGAAAATTAAAGTTATATTGAAATAACTGTAAGAATGAACTATTCACAGCCATATAGTAGCCATAATAGAAATACCTGTCATAAGAAATTATTTCAAGTATATACCAGCCATAAACTGATGTATTAAAGACATATTAAATACAGTGGAATCAATAATACGGATTTAATCTAACTTAATTTGTTGATAAATTTTTAGAAATATTGTGGTATATATTTATATAATATATATTAGGATATATTCATATGTATATATAGAAACATTTATATATTTAGGAACATTTTTAATTAGAACAGATTGCTCCAAGCCCAGTCCAAACTGACCTTGAATGGTTATAGGAATGGACACATACAACCTCTCTGGGCTGCCTGTGCCAGTGTTTCACTACCCTCTTTATAGATAAATAAATATAGAAATAATTAAATGTATAAATATATAAATTTATATGTGAATAATAAATATATCATATATATGTCACTAACTGTGTGTATATATATATAAAACTGATACCATATTTTATACAATATTTTCCAGGGGTTTTTACTGAATAGCTGCACATAAAAATTCTATTTTGTTACCATGCAAAATAATAACATTGGAGGAATCAGTCTACAGTGATTTTTACATTTTCCACTATCAAGATCCACTATGAATTCCAGTCTGTGGGGAGTGGATCAGCATCAATACCCACAGTGGCATCTGCATTGTGCCACAGGGTGTGTAGCAGACTCCCTCACCTGTGCCTCATGTCTCACACAGTAACACAAAACCTCCTCATTTAGTGAGCTTCCTGATGTTTTTCTCCTTAATTTAGTTAGCTACCTGGAAATTTTGTCTCAGACTGCCCTGTAATCTGGCACCCAGCCCAAGAAAGGACTTCTGAAAGTCACAACTTTGTCTGCTTTCTATCTATACTTCAGGACACCTAGGAAAGAATAAACATCTGTGCAGTAATCAGCTTTTTAGAAATCAGTGTATGAAATGTCTTGGGAGAGATACAAGCCTGAAAACACAGCTTCAAGATATGACCCCTGATCCTGGTCTCAGGACTAAGCATCATAAGAGTTTGTTATTGCCCTGTCAACCGCCCAAACAATCAAAACCCACAAATTCCACCTTTTGCTTAGGTATTTTCTGTAACACCTTGCTCAAAGAGAAGTTCTAGTCTGAAATATTGAAGAGCAGAGCCTTGACAAACACTGATGTCCTTTCTTCCTAGGGAATAGCTACAGCCTTCACCAGAAAGCTTTGCAATCCCTGATGGGCTGCCCACTGGGAACCTGGGAGATTCCTTGCCATGTCCTCAATGCTTTTGGCAAGGCCTGCATGAGCCATTGCTAGAGCCAGAGTTTCCCCTGGGGTGGGAAAAGAGTGAGTTCTTTTGAGCACACTAGGACCCAAATACATAAATTCAATCCATGTTTGAGATCCAAGGTGCTGCAGAGACATAAAAATTGTTAGGCTGGGAAGACTCTATGAAGCACCTTGATTATCTCTATTTGTGCTTCAAAAGCTCCATGCTTCTTAATGGGAATTGTGGCACATCAGGTTGAGGATAATTAATTCAGTAAAATCAGGCCCTGTATGACTTTTCAGTCCTTCATTCATGAGAGATTTGTCCCCTAGATGTTTTATATCTTTGCTTTCAGTTAAGTCATTTCTCCATTCATCCAGTTAGTAACTTTTCCAGCAGAAGCTGCTTTTCCTTTGACTCCTGCTCCCAATTCCTTTTGTCTTCAACCACCATTTCCTGGTTTTTGCTGCTGAGAATGAATGGGGCCCTCTGTGCCCTTCAGGGCCTCAGCCAGTGGGATGCCACTGCTCCTCTACCAGCCTGTAGTCTCAGTCTAAAGTCCTCAGTCTAAAACACTGCCTTTCTCTTCTCCAGCTCCTCCCAAGCTCAGACACTTCCTTTGCACTGACAATGATTTTTTTCTGTCTCCTGCATTACAATTCAGGGTTTCTCCTCATCCTAATTCCAGCTTCATCCAAATTAGAGCTAAAATAAGTGATGTATTTGCCTGGCTGCCTGAAATCATCCAGCAATGTCTTTTCACAATTGGTATGCTCACTGTCAGAACGCTAAAATGTTCTTGATTAGGTGCTTGCATTATGTAAGTATTTTATAATTGTCACTAACTATTGCTTTATCTGCACTATTTATTAGTCTGAAAGAAACAAAATAGCAATTACACACTAATTATATGCTAATTAAATAGCATTTATGCCGGTGGTATTCTGTGTATTCAGAAATATTACTTTTTCATTGGGAAAAGGGAGTTTTCTAATTAGTGAACAATTATAACAAATCTACTTTATCTCAAAAAAAAAAAGGGCTTTTCGAACCATTTATTTGTAAATGACATGTATTTCTAGTATTTTTGGGACGTAAATCACATTATAATTTGGGAGAAGTAGAAATAATTCAAAGACTTATTAATTCATCCCTCCTTTCACACTTATTTGTACCATTTTAGGATTATAAATAATCTTTAATATACGCATAGGAAGATAATGAGACTTAAAAGAAGCCTAAAGCTTCCTATCTTATCTTTAAAATTTCCATTTCTCAGTTAGCATTATAATAGTACACGTGGTATTATTGATATTGAAAGAAATAACACCCAAAGTGCACATTTGATTTCTGTGTTTTCAGCTCAGTTTCCACAAGCACAATTAACTGGTCCATTTGTCAGCTCCATTATTTATATCTTTTCATACAGCATACTGAAAAATCATGTATTTTTACAGACTCTTAGAGACTCTGAACTCTTACATATTTTTAGCAAACATAAGTGAGCTACAGATTGGAAAGCACCCAAGCAGCAGTTGATTCTATATGAGAGTTTTACCTTTCTTGTTGAAAATATTAATTCCCAACAAACAGGAATGAGAATAAAATGGAAAAAAAATAGGTAACAATTGCATCTGAACTAGATACCATTTGTTTTCCCATTTTTATGGAACGAAGCAACACTTCAGTAACCTTACCCTTATTGACAGAGACATTGGTTTGCTGTGTGCTCCCACATTTCGGGGTGTGAATGTGGTATTGCGATCCCTCAGGAATGCAGGTTTCAGCACATAGCCACAACCACCATTGTCCAGGAATTTTCCATCTTGCAATTCCATGAATGGGCCCGGTGTTTGGAAGTTTAGGGCCACTGGAAAATTAGAACAATATTGATTTCAGTGAATTAGGTTTGATAACATTTTATAAAACAAATATTTTTAAAAAAGCAAATGAGCTTAAGGGATCTATATCTCTCAATTCATATGTAAGATCCTGCTATTTCCCTTAAATTAAGTGATACTCAATTGCTGGAATCTGAAATGTAAGGAATTCTCAGTAAGGCAAAGCTTAGAATTAAACACAGGATTCTATTTGAGACCTTAGAAAAAGTTTCCAAATTTAAGTTCTAGAAGCGAGAATGTGGATTTATAGTTTAAAGCCGAAACACATCAAATTAGGAAGAAGAAAGTTTAGAGTTTTAGAGTTTAAGATATAGAAAAAATAAAAGTCGTTACAAAGGTAAACAAGGAGTTTAGTATGCAGTACTGTAAGTTTATATGTCATAACATTATTGGCTAAGAAAGCTTACAGCTTACACTGTAACATGAGTCCATAAGATGAAATATTTAAGGATTAGGTCAAAAATATAAATATCTTTATTAACAGTGCTTTATTAATCAATAAATCCTTAAAAGGTCTTATAACTAGGAGTCTTGTAACCTTCTAAACCCTAAAGATGTGAGCTGAACTCACCCTTCCTATTTATGTAGACGATAAGAAAAATAAATCACATCAAAACAACTCAGAAATCCCATCTCTAACTCATTCAAAATCCCTTCAAAAATCCCATACTCATACACCCATAATTATTTGTGCACAAAAGCAGCACATTATTTAGAACTGCACCCCATTTTAAGAATTACCCTATAGATATTTTTACATTGCTCTATCTGTTTCCCCATTTCTTTCTAAATTAGACCTAGGAGAATATGAAATGAGAGATCCTTTTTCTCCCTAAAAACTGAATTCACATCCTAGTTTCTCTAGAGCAGCAAGACCCTGCGCTCCAAAGCTGCTAACAAAGTTCTGGTGCAGAAGTCAAAACCACAGGATTGTATCCAACCTTAGTTATGGTGCAGAATTCATCAAAAAAACATCTCACCCAGAAGATTAAGAAGCTTTAGTTTACTGTTAGAACACCCAGTGAAAATGCAATATAAGTTTATAGAACTAGAAGCAATTTTAAAAGTGTTCTTAAATTTATGTGAGCACACATTCTCTTGGAGTTTAATCCTCCAGTACTGGTGATTATTGCAAAAATACGCCTGACAGATTTTCCTTTCCTTGGCAGTTCAAAACATTTTTGGTATGCTGCAGCACCAATAATAAAATATCACATTTCTCATCAACAGGATATTGTCATTCATGAGATAAAGCCAACATTGAAATAGACCTGTTTAATGAAATTTTCCCCTATTCCAGTACATTGGAGATTCCTGTCATGTTCAAAATAGAAAATGCAGAAGTCAAATCAGCAGTGAATGATGGCATTATGAACCTGTGACATGTGTTAAACAGACAGTGATAAGAAGTCATTTACTTAAACTGGTAGGAATGAAAAAAGAAGACTTTAAGCAGTTCAAGTGACTCTTTATAATAATTCATGAAGAGGACATTATTACCTGTTCCTATGAGATAATATGAATGTATTGAATGAACATTTGACATAATGCAAAAACCCTATCACAGGTGGAAAACACACAGAATTGTTTTCATGTAAAAATTATTTGTTCCTTCATTGCTCTGATGATCCTTTTAAAATGTTCTGTAGCAAATAACACAAACAGGAATGAAGCAACTGGTACAATGGACCTGATGTTTGCACTACACATGTTTTTTGCTGGGGTTACTTCTGAAGAGCTCGGGCCCGGCTCCATAGTCTCAAAACCAATTAATGGGTGGAATATATGAAGTGCTCCCAGAGTGCATCATCTATTTAATCTGACAGGAATCCCATCTGTGCTAGCTAAGATTGCTCTGCATCATGAACCAATATGCAGCAAGTAGGAGCAACTGGAAACCCTGTCTAGAAAAACCGCAAACAAACAAAAAAAATGTGAAACAGTAAAACACAACATGCAGTCCCGCTTGGAACTAAGTGTTAATGTAGATGCAGACATGATTTTATATTAATATACACAGGAAATCTGTTTTCACTTTAACAACAGAATTCAAACTTCACAGTGTTCATATTGCCCTTTGCACACCATTGCCTTTTTTAAACAGGGTAAGTATTTTCTTGGTATGGTTTTGGCAGTAATTCACAATTTGCTTTTCATGATCAGCACATCATCCAGAAACAGCCCCAGATTTGGTGCTCTATGATGCTTGTCATATTTCAATACACTGAATCAAGCTGTGCAGAGGGTGCTACAAGAGCTGCAACCCTGAGGCCCCTGGAAGTCTGAACCACAGATCACCCAGGACCTCTCAGTCCTCAGGTGATTCCTGGGCCACACTTTCAGAATATGTGGGTTTAAAAGTGCAACTGAAATTAGGCACATTGAACAGTCAGCTTCAAATAGCAGCTTCTACATGATGAACCAAATTACATGATTGCACATAATGAGACTACTGCTAAATTTACCAAGCTTTATAGGCGACTAAGCAGGAAAATCTGATGTAACAACAGCAACAAGCAAATGAGACTACTTTATATTTTATCATATTAGGAAAATTACTTTTGCAACACAAGTGAAGGGCAATGTTATTATGGGTTCACATCTTCAAACATCAGCACTGTGTTTTCACTTAATTTAATTTGACCTTAGAACAAGTTAAAAAACATATGGAACAGTAGTTTTCATTTACCTGCTGGTTTCTTTGTGTTGCAAGTTTTAAGGTGATTAAGAAAATGTGAGATTTTGTGTCATATTCTCAGAGATGGAAACCTCTACTAAAACTGTTCACAGGGTTCATAGCTGCTCAGGGCCTCCCAGGGCACTGCTTTATGGTGCATTGATGCACAGTTTTTCTTTTTAATCAGGTGCAGTTATAGCCCTAACATTTCTTGAGAAATGGCAAGGATCATAAACCAAAAGCTGTGCCTAGCAGCATGGGCTGAGGAACATCTTTCTGCAAACAACCCTGAATTTCTACCCAGTGTTTCATTTTAGCTTTGCTGAATTCAAGAGCAGAACTGTCAATAACATCCTTTGTACTGTTGTTTTATGAAACAGTATAAATTTAATGCATGTATGAAGAGAGATTTAAACTGACAGTTTCTTTTGGAAAGAAGCCTAAATGAGCTTGCAGTGAAACCATCTGAGCAGTACATAATCTTGATGTATGGTTTTCAAGGGGAAGTAAAGGCATCTGAAGTTTAACACTGTGTACATTATACTTTTTTCTTAGTCCCTTCATTAAGCACCAAAAGCCTTTTAATATTGACTCCAAATCAAAGCAGAACAGCAAAACCTGGGCTTGGGGAATGACCTGAGCAAAGGAATTCCTCAGTGTGATTCCTGCACCTGAAATGGATTTAAGTATTCCTAGAACCATGAGGCTAAGTCCCCTTCAGATCAGAGTATTCCATACTCAAATCACCTTGCAAAGCACCAAAGCTGCCATGGTTGTGGCAGTAAGCCCTAGGTGTAAAGAACTTCATATAGAAAATGGAAGGTAGGAAATAGCCCAGCTCCAAAAAAGATGAGCCATTCCATAATACACAGAGCAGTACTATTTTTGACCCCAAATCTCTGTATCACAAGCAGTTATCTGAAGTCAGTCCCATAACCAAGTGCAGAACTAAAGACATTCTAAATATTCATATACAGCACATTCCATAAGCACCACAATTCAACACATAATTGATTTATAATCTAAAAGCAAAAGCTTTTTAAAACCAAATGAGCCCTGTGAATATGATTTTAGGGCAGTTGAGAAAAACTGCACATCTTTTGTCTGTTATCCTGCCTCTTATTAATAGTCCTAGTGGAACTTTTAAAAAGTATTTTTTTATCTTTTGTTCTTTGCTTCCTGGTTCTATTACCTATATTACAACCATAAGGTTTAATGTATTTTCCCATTCAAATGGGAAGATTTTAAAATGGATAAGGACACATTTATCACCAATTTTTCTTAAAATGAGCTTCTTAATTGCATTTTATGCCATTTAAAAATGCATCTCAAAGTGTATGAATTTTATGCCATTTCAAAAAATACCATATGCAAAAAGCACTCAGTGCTTTCTATCTCCATGATTCACCTCACTCATTTGAATCTAAAGAGATTTAATAGATCAGCCTTGTTGCCTTCCTCTCAGCTCTTTCCAATTGTCTGTGTTCTTAAAGTGGGCCACTCACAATGAATGCAACAAAAAAATCTATGCCTTAGATATTCAAAATGTGAACTGAATTGCACACAGCCTGGGAAATCCTATTGAAAACAGGCCTGTATCCCAAAGCTCTGGAATGCTGCCATTGGCCATGAGATGATCAATGTGCTTGGATTTGAGGACACTGCTTTCATTCCACATCAGCACTCCAGGCTGGGCATGGACTGTCTAGGCTTTCTTCTCACATGCAGGTCACAGCTGCACCCAATCCATCACTGCCCAAATTTACAGAAATATCTCGCGAGTCCAAGAAAGATGGAACAAGACTATTTGACTATTTACAAGGGCATGACAGGACAAGGGGGAAGGTCTTCAAAGTGAAAGAGAGTAAACCTGTAAATACGTGAGACCCACACAAACTTTATGAACAAGGACTTTGGTCTACCTGACCAAATATAAAGAAAAAAACCATTTTTTTCCTACCAGAAAAAAAAATATACTATTGGTTCCCTTACAAGCTTCTATGGACAGTATAAATTTTGGCATACAAAATCTCACCCTCTCTTCCTGGCAAAAAAAAAAAATCAATCAGTCAAACTGTTATTTTTTTCCCTCCCCTAACAGACTCCAAATTTTATTAAGCTTAATGATAATTCCTGGCTTTATTTTTCACCTACACATTTTGAAATGGTTGTTTTTATTCTACAGAAAATTGATTTATGAATGACTTACAATGTGAGGGAGGAAGAGGGACTGCTCTTCTGAGAACTGAATAAATGCAGAACTGTGACATAATATGCTTATAATGGTTTTTTTAATTGTCTTTGGGCCAATTTAATACTGTGGCTCTAAAGATACTGTCAAAAGAAATGTGAAGAATTCAGTCATACACTTCATAATTGCTGACATTGTTCCTACTTAATTACAAGTGGTTCTACTGGAAAAAAAGATGTCAGGTGATTGAGTCATCCATTGTCCCAGCATATCTGCAAAGGGTTTAAGTAGGGATCCTCTCTTGAGAGGTTCTCATGGGAAAAGTACCTAAAGCATTTCTGATAAATTATCAAGTCTAAAAATCTAAATTGATTTTTGCTATTTAATTAATGTATCAGTCTGAAAGTCACACTTTAGTGTAAGGCTGAGCATCTTTTGACTGTCATTTGACCAATTTTACACCTGAAATTTTTCCAAAATAATTTTTAAAAAATTATTTAACTTGTGATTCTTGCAGAACAGTGAATATTACCAACTTCCCTTTCCTGTTTTAGTCTGAATCACTGACAGATTTTAGAACAAGATCTGCAAGGACTTCAGAAACAATTGCATTCCTGCAATTTTTTTCCCCCCATCTTCTTTTAAAATTTATTAGACTTCACATAAATTATTTACTATTCTATTGGTTGTCTGCAGTGAAGACAGCTGGAAAAACTGATAAAATGGAATTTCAATGTTTCTTTGCTTTTAAGTGAAATCCCAGTATCTATTCCACACACCAAAAACTGCCTAAAAAGAAGCAGGCTACAGAGTAGCCCAAGAGCTTTTTCATAAACCCGGCAGCAGGCACATTTCTGCAGAAGAAACATGAAACCTTCATCCAAAACAGCTCCTAGCCTTTGGAACCATTCCCAAGGAAAGCTGAGTGCATTTAGGGAACTTCATAGGTAGAATCATATTGTCCCACCTATATTGTAGATGTCTACAGTTGAATTAGCTGCACCACTTCACTCTTAGTGGGGATCAAATCAATGAAGGTCAAGGGACAACATTAAAAAAAAATATTCCTCTAGTTTTCACTTCCCAAGGAGGCATTTTTGGGCTATTAAAACCAATAGAAGGCAGCAATATTATAGTTATTGACACAGCACCCAAGCAGGGTCAGATTTGAGGCATTTTGATTTGCACAGGTGAGGCATACCAAAATTTGTTGGTTTCTTTTCCCTTGGTTTCTTCAGAGATTGAAATCAGAACTGGTTAGAGAGCTCTTTATCCCTCCTCTTTTCATATTTTGTCATTGAGCCACAAAACAGATGTGAAAAAAATTGCCAAGCTGCATTTCAGTGTCACAGGCCAAGAAAAAACCTACAGTAAGAAAAAACCCACCATCCAAGTACAATTTTCATAGCAGCATATAAATTTTATGCATACTCCTAAAAGCACATATGGGATCTTCTGAAACAAAATTCTGTACCTGCCACACCGTGGCTTTCTCCTGTAACTTATGACATGTTTTGGTCATTCCTGTAGAGGGCTTTGATACATTTATAACATTTCCTACTGCATGGAAATGCCATATTCAAAAGGATAATTAAGTCTTTTTTTATTTTCACTGAGGCTCTCTTTTGTTTCAGATTTTTTGTTGTTTTTCTCATTTGATATAAAACAACTGCCATCAGTTTATTTAAATAACTGCCCTGAATTTTCTTTCCCTGCATAAATCTTTCCATTTAATTTTATTTACTAAAGAAAAAGGAGACTTGGATACACCAAACCAGTTCTTTCCAGTGCCTCACTGCAGCTGCATGCAGAAGGCATGCTAATTTTCACAGACTATGAAAAGCGGGGTTGGTTTTTTTTTCACAAAACCTCCTGTTCTTATGAGTCTCCATTTTCAGAGAACAGACAGGGAGTGCACAGCGATATCCAAAAGCTATTTTGTGGATACTCTGTACTTTTCATGGAGCTTTTTAACTTGCCTTCCTCTGGAAATTAGGTTTACACAATTACATGTCCCATCCTCAGCCCCAACAAATCTTGAGCCTGTTGGACCATTTCACCCTGCTTTAGCTGAGTGCCAGCCTGCTCCAAGTTAATATGTTCCAAGCAATTTAGAGAAAATTGCTGGCAAGGTACAGGAGAGAGACTGTTTTGGGTCCATCACTAAAGGGAAGTGAAGGAATAACTCAATTCTCATAATTACAGGATGCAGAGGCCTGGCAGGCAGTATTATATGTTAGGTTTGAACAAAACCTAATACATTTTCTTTGCCCAGCCAGAAGTAGTTATGGATGTTAAAGGAACTTGAAGGCAAACTTGCAGGTGTGGGGAGGAGAAGGAAGGTAAGAAGGGGAATAGGTGGCATAGGGGAAACCTGAGTCCTATAAAGAGTTTTAAGGAAGTGGTAGAAGGGAACTGGAGGGATCACTTCTGTGCATGGGGTGTAAAATACAAAGGCAGGGTGTGTAAAGAACACACAAAAAGTGTGTGAATTATAGAGACATGGGACAGACATAAAAAATCAAAACTCTGTGTTAAATCAGTGGAAGGATATCAGCAGAAATTCACTGATACACTCACTCTGGGAGTTGCATTGTGGAGAGCAGCTGTAGTTCTGCCAAACACTTATCTGAAGCAGATTAGGGAATTAAGAATACATCTAACATAGCTTGGAAATTATATATGTGGAGAATTGGTTTTAATCAGCCTATTCCCATGTGAAAAATGGAGGGGTTTTTCAGTGAAGATGCAAATGAAGTGACCAAGAGAGCAGATCTAACCACTTCCTGCATATTTTTCATTCTTCCAGGAAGGGGCCCAAACCCCCTATGCACCAAAAGTCATATGTTTTGCATACTAATGTTTAGAATGACTTCTCATTAAAGTGTACTCTGAGTAAACAACCAGTATAGTAGTAATTTTGAAAGACTTCAGCCCTGTCTGTGATCTAACAAATGGATATTCTTTCAAAGATAAGTGTGGAAATTTACAGGCCAGAAAGAAAACTAGTAAATTGCAGCATGATAAGACTGGGAGATTGATTCCATTTGAAATTAAGGACGTCTGGCTAGTTGTTCCTCTAAGCATGGAACAAACTTACTAGTTTTTAATGGAAATATGGAGTGTAGATAGCAACGATGGCATACAGAGAGTGCAGCACCCCAGTCAATAATCCAGAAATTACACTAAGTGTGCATGAACCACAAGGACAGAACATAATCAAACCAATTTCACACAGTGCGGTAATGAGAAGATACTTGGATAACCCAGCCCAAGTCCAAATCTGTACTGCAAATAAGCATTTATAAGGACACAGAAACAAGTAAAATTTATACTAATTAGTAACTTTTGTAGTCCTTGTGTAGTTATGTAAAACTCTACCTCAATATAAACAGTCAGGATGGAGAAGGTAACTTGTCACAGGAGATATATGGGGAGCTGAGAAAGGAAACAAGTGGAAAAGGTAGCCTGGAACAAGGGTGACATAAGCTCCAGGGCCCTGCAGGCAGAGTGGAAGCTGTGCCTGTCCTTGGATGAGTGTGTATTTTAACATAACAAGGTGAATCCAAACCTTTCACCTCCAAACCAGGAGCCTGCAGCAAAGTGCCCTGCTCACCCCACAGCCTCCCTCAGGTGCCCTTGGCCAAGACTCAAAGACAGAATATATTTGTGAGTACAAAACAAAAAAAACCAAAGCTCAATTATTCTGCTCTCCTTTACCTGGGACTGAAGAAGATGTAGCAGGCCGACATAGAAAAATATTCTGTAATGAGAATCTTTCAAACTGAAGAACAAACAGATGAAGGTAAAATTGTCTCTAAGGCCATAAAAAGGAGAAAATGCTTATAGGTAAGAGGTTTGCCTCTGTACCCACAGAAGTAATGCCATGCCTATTTTTAACAAATTCAAAGTAATAACTTGCAATGAAGAGAAGCAGAAGTAATTTTTATTTTGTTGCTCAGGAAACTAGTATGTTTTGTCCTGGGAATTAAGATGCTAAATGTATGTTACATTTATATAAAGACTGGAGGCTCCCAGCAGCTCCCAGCTGAACCTGGGTGTGGTGCTGACCAGGAATATTTGTGTTTAATTGTGTTACGTATCCTGTTCTGGGATTTTTTGCACTACTGTCAATGGTTGTGCTCACATCTCCTGCCCCTGTACCACTCAAGTCACAGAGAACCACTGAAAACCCAGAGACCCTGCAGAAGGAACTTCCATTGCTGAGTAATGGAAGCTTAAAAATGCTGAATTATTACTAGAGTTTTTCTTAATATACAATTCAAAAACATAGTTTAAAGGAATTAATAAAATATAATCAATTAAATATCTGGGATAAGAGACAGCTATTCAACACAAAGTGATATTTACAATTACCAGGGATGAAAAATTAATGGGAGATGTGGGTTGAAAGAAAAGTTTATATAACAAAACATTAAAATAATGCCACTGGTGGGAAATATGCAACCTATATAACACCAAAATACTATAGAAAGCAAGAAACCCTTGTATTTCTAAAGCCTAGAATGCAATAGTCTCTGCAAGGATACATACCCATTTGACACCCTATATTCCAGAACTCTTGAGGATTATAATTTGAAGATTTCATTCTTGATCCCTTGGGGTAAATTCTTGTAATAAATCTTGTAGTATGTGCAATAAACTGGCTAGCTGATAAACAGAAGGATAAAATCTTGGTAAGAAAACCTTTGCTATTAAAGAGGACCTATTTGAATAAATAATAAAAATGCAGTCATTGGATCCAGTAATTTTTTTACACAATATTATATCAATGTATTCTATTTTAACATTAATACATGGACCACTCTGAACTATACCTAAAATCTTATTTTGAAACCTTAATATTTTCCATGTATTTGAATCTGACAGTATTCCTGTATATAGTGCAGACTTTTGTAAGACGTTCATGAACCAAAAATCATTCCTTCACTGGAATATTCTGTTTCTTCATCTTTTTACAGGGTAATTATATGATTTCTACACTAAAGCCCACTGTGTTCTCATGGGAAACTAAGACACAGAACAGGAAACTGCACAAAAGTTTCCTCATTCTATAGTAGCTCAAAATGAAAATCATCTCTGGATGATCTTGGCTTGCTTGCTGTTAGGAGATTTAAATAAAATGACTAAATAATATTGAGACTAGGGAAGAGCACACTTTTAAAAGCCACTTAAATTTTTCTTATATAAGCCTCAGAAGTTGTTAACTATTCATGAACATTGTTTTTCCTTCTGCTGGCTGTGTTCCCTCCTTTCTCATATGCAGGCATAGACTACACAGATGTGGGAAGCTCCAGATGATTTCTATCTAGACAATTTTTAGTTATTCACCAAAAATCTACATTTCCAGGCTCATCTCTCTGATCTATTACATACTCCTCTCATCATTTTTTGTTTGTTTAGGGGTTTTGTATGGTTGATTTAGGTAGGGTTTGTTGTTTGGGGGTGGTTTTTATGAGGAGGGGTGGGGTTATATAGTTACTTTTATATTCCCTAGAGTACTGGAGGAGCAGAGAGGACTCTCTTTGGATAGCTGGAAAATCCTACTTTTTGATGCATCATTCACCTCACCAGGCACTGAAGCGCCTCCACAAAGTGGGTGGGTGGCAGCAGGGCTGGCCCCGAGTGAATGGGCATGTGGCAGGGGTCATTGTCATTGTCATTGTCATTGTCATTGTCATTGTCACAGCCGGTGATCTCTGCTCTCCACACCCCCAGAGCCCCGGGCGGGCAGCTGGAGCTAGAGCAGCAGAGGCTGCACTGTGCTGCCTCCACCAAACGGAGATGCCCCAAGCCAGAATGGGTTTGGAATTGCCCAGCTTGGCTGGGATGAAAGGCGTGCTCCAGTGGAGCAAACTGCCTGCTCTGGGCTTTATCCAGCCCTTTCATGAGGGCTCTTATCTGCAGCTCTCACCAAAGCCAGGGCACTGCCAAGCCAACTCCACTTTCTCAGCCCAGATTTTGGGAAGTGGGGAGGGGGAGGAGTGTAATTTATTCCACACTTTTTCAAGTACTGGCTGAACTCTTAAACTATTTGATGCAGAAAACAATGAATCAAAAGGCAGACATTCATTTTGTAGACTGTGTTAATATTTGTTCTTATAAAAATACACGGAATTAAAACAAAGTTGAATTTCAATTTTCTCCACAAAACAAACAGAAATTTAAAAAAATGCTATTCAAAGGACATTTCTAAAACAGTATTATACAAAGAGCCAAATAAAATCAGACAGCAGTTGTTTCATAAAATTTTAACCCTTCCAATGCCTAAGCAGTGAACCATAGCAACAAGTAGCTTTAAACTAATTAACTCAAAAGAAATTACCTGAAACTCTTGCAAGTTTTCGTGCTCGAGACTCTCCAATGGAATTATTTTCCCAGCACTTCTGAAACTGCATGGAATGCTCAAAGCCCACAAACTTCTGAGATTTTGTATAAACCACAAGGTCTGACAATGCAAGGGCAATCTTTGTCTTCTGCACCTAATAATCATCAGATGAATAATGAAATAAAAAAAGTCACAATAATGCATATTTCATTATTATTACTATTAATAATTCACAGAAACAATAATTTTGGATGCATAAAGCATGAGAAAAGATGCCACAGTTAATGAATTTAATAAATATGACCTTTAATAGTGAAATTTGATCTAGTGAGAGAAAATTGAGGTTATTTTGTTCATGTTCATCATAGTAATCATAGGGTGAGTAGAGAGATGCTTCCTAGCAGAATATTCTTCTGCATAGCTTTACAGTTTTCCTGCTTCTAAGACTGGTTTGCAATAACATAATTTTTCTTGGCTTTTAACATTACTCCTTAAAAATATACCTCCAATTTTCTATTTGTAAATATATGAAGTACTAGAAAGGACCAACAGCATAAACTCATCTATAAAATGTAGAATAACAGGAAAATATTACACTGTGCCAAGCAAATTAGTCAAAGGCATATTATTCCTCTAAGCATTGCTCTGAAGTCAGGAAAACTCTTTTCTTCTTGATTAAGGTCGAAGATTCTCTCACCAAAATCTTAATTTAGTCTTGCTCCATTACCAAAACAAGCAGAAATCACTGACATTTTACCAGGGTCTTCTCTCTTACAGTGAGGCACTACATGACCACTTCATTTTCCACAGCACAACTTGTGAGCTAATTGGGGGCAGCAGCCAGCAGAGAGCTGCTGATGCTAATCATGTTTACATTCCATTAAAGCTTCTGAAGGCAAAGTCTCATCTGACAAAATAACAGAGTTTGCCTCCTCATGGCTCTTAAACTATGCAAAGTTCAAGAGCATTAATTATTCTGAGGCTGTGTCCCACGAGGAGCAATAGGGGTCTGCTGCCATGGAAATCCTGAAAAATGCAACTTTCTGGAGGCAGGCAAAGCCAGCAGCATCACTGCTGGCATCTTCTGCAGATTCAAATGCTCTCCCACCCCTCCTCCCAAAAGTGGGATAGCAAGGCAAATACTCCAACAGAGTGGGACCCTGGAAACCACTTCCTCTTCTGCCTGTGAAATATGAGCAGATACTTTTTGTTGCTGCTGTTCAAGAGTGTTCCACAATACATTCACGTGTTCCACAATACATTCTCATCTGTAAAAAGGTCCTATCAATAAACTTGAAAACTTTTGCCTAGAAATTTGACATTTCCTGTTCAAAGAGGACTCCATCCTTCCTCAGCATTTTTCCTTGCTGTTTCTCCATGTCAGATGGAATGAGAAAGAAGCAAAAACTTCCACCATCAAATTATACAAAAAAAAAAAGAGACACTGTTTCTCAGCAAGAACACTGGGCTCTGAGGAACATTGCCAGTTTAGCCACATTTAGGTAATCAGAGCATGATGTGCAAGAGTGACTGGACACTTCAGGTGCTGCTTGACATCTTAAAAAAGTTGAACAAAGCAGTTTCAACTCTGAGAAAGCAGCAGATTTTCAATGGTAGAGAATTATACTTGGTTAAAAAAAAAAAGTTCAATTTGACTTTCAGATAGGAGATTACACCCAATTTTTACACTTCTTTCAAAAATAATGCTTAATGTTAAGTCTCTACATGATAAATGTTAGAATGCCTCTTCAATTCCAGGTGCTGAAAAATGTTTCAGCACAACCGGGAATATGCACCAAGTTTAATGTAAAAAATCACAGAACAGAAGAAAATAGAGGAATCTATCTGTCTTAAAAATAGACTGGTAGACTTGGGGAAGAAACAATTAACTCTGCCTGTTGTCATTAGGAAGTGCTATAAATGTTCTCTATACATAGCTCCCGGGGGCCATGGCACCAACAAAACATTTGGGTAACTTCATCTGAAATCTACTGTGGTACTGTGCACCTAGGACAAGCACAGAAAGAGGAAAATGGGGTTGAAGTTCAAGATGGGACCACAGGGAGGTGGGATACTAAAATGTGGTCCAGTCTGACTTTTCTTATAAAAATAGGAAAACTCTGAAAGCTTCAGCTAAAACATGTAATTTCCAAATGCACTGATCTTAGTAATTTTAAAGTTTCCCTTTTAAAATTAGTGTCTATTTTAAGATAATATAGTCCTTCTTAAAAAAAAAAAAAAATCTATGTGTTCTCTATATTCAATTGAAGCAAAAACTACCTTGCTTTTTTTTTGAGGTGGAGGTGAAGATCTACGATCTCCTTTTCTTTTGGTAGGACTCCTGGGTCCTCCAGGAGGCACGACTTCTGCGTCATCATCATCAGAGGGAACGTCAGAGTCAGACACTTCCTCTGCCTCACCACCATACTCCTCCTCCATCCTGAGCATGCTTTGCTCAAGCGTTCCAACTTTCTTATTTTTTATCAGAACTTTGAATTTTAATTCCTGTAGAAAAGAGGTTTAACAATAATAACTAGAATTATGTAGATTTTTCATCTCTTGGTATTATTTAACGTGTCTTCAAAGTTGTTTATTAAGTATAATGAAGTGAGCTTATAAAATGAAGCAAAATAGATATGAGTGAGGCAGAAGCCAAAGCCAAATGAACCAAACAGAATCTGGGGACCAAAGTACACAACAGAATGTGGCTATCTAAACCCAAAAGGCTCTCCACCACAGGCACACAGATGCTGAAACTATGAAAACATAAAAGTAGGAAGTAAGAGCCAAAGGCGATAGCCAGGCAAGATGGAAAACTATATTTTTTCACTATGCCTAAATGTCCTTATATATGTGTGTGTGTGTGTGTGTGTACTTTAAGACATGTCTGATGTTAATTTGGAATGTTTTCATCTATCATTGAGGCTGCAAGAAATTTTTCATTTGATTTTTTGTGCATGTCTGTCTTGTGTACCAAATTAAAAGTTTTGTTTATACTTTGTGTTCTTTACAGTAGATCCTTTATGTTGATCTTACCCGGTTAAGGGAAACAACAGTTTGGTGATTTTGTCTAAGCAGTTTCTCTGTTTATAAATGAGCATGTATCAACCTCCATAATATATAATGTAAAGGGGGAAAAGCATCTCTCAATTATAGTGATTCTAATAACATGGCTTTCATCTATGCAACAGAATTATTTGAATATATATTTCACTTTGATTACAAAATTATATTTATAGTAAAGCTGCTATTATGTAGCAGACACTCAAATCTACATCTGGACACTGCAGCTGCCAGTGAGTAACAGGACTTACTATGGCTCTTTGATAAAGTGATCCTCAAAAATATTCCTTAAATTTCCTATGCTCTAGTGAAAAGGGAGTGTGGCAGGAAGAGGGAACAAATCATTTCACAATAAATGAAAGGTAACTGAAGTGCTGTAGTTTAAAGTATCCACTAAATAAATATAAAAGGTGTGGATGATGAAAACATATGAACCCAAAGTTCTATAATGGAAACCAGAGCCATTATAGGCAAGGACAGAGACATTCCATTCATTTCCATTGTTGCTCCATTGCTCATAATCCCTTTATCACTTCAGATTTCAGGCTGGTAGTTTGCCAGGGTGCCAGTGCAATGAGACATCCCATGCCCAATATCTATCAGTGCCATGCTGCTGGGAGGTTTGATCAGTCTCTCTGCACTGGTGACTCAGAATAAGGATGCCCTTTAACATTTCCTTCATTTCTTATTGATGCTCTCTTTTTTTTTTTTTCCTTGTGATATTTTTAGAAGAATTTTAATATTATTAATGCTACCCATATTTTTTAAGAGTTCTGAATATTCCTTTGTATGTTCATATTTCCCAATGTTTAAAAGCTATTCTATCCATTTTCAATCTAGTATTTTGTTATTCACAGCAAGACTTATTTCTACAAATTAAAAAAAACCAAGCCTAGTATACAGGGGAATAAAACACTTTCTATGGTTACATTATTGCCTCCTGTATGCAAATTTCTTTAAATAAAAAAGACTGTAGAATGTGTGTGTAGCTATAAAAAAATGGGTCATGATGTTTTAAGTCAGTCCCTAAAATTCTGTTTACAAGCTGTTAGCAAAAACGTAAACACCCTGAGGTAGGAGGAGTTTTTTAAGGTTTTTTTTGGTTTTTTTCTACAAAGATAACATTTTAAAATCATGACTCATTTTAGAAACAGTCATAAAAAATACCCCAGTGATATGAAAATTTGCTATTTTTTGGCCAGAAGCAAATTGTAATAATAGTTACCCCAAATGGTTGAAAGTGAAACACAGAGTGAAAAAATGACATACCAAGGATTTTGTCTGAACTTCAAAGATCTTCAAAAAAACTTACAATAAATGTATGGTTGCAAAATCAGTGACTGTGAAATCTGAGTTCTTTAATTGGTAATCAGCACTGCTAAGCATGTGACACCTTATTTCTCTACAAGTCCAAGTTTTCCAAGAGAGCTGAAAAGTCTTTTAATAAGCTGAAACTCAGAGCATTCACTAAAACTTCTCCTTTCTAGTTTTATTATGAAAGGCAAAGTACGTTAAAAATACATTTGCTGTTTACCTCTATATAAACTGTAAGCATACTAAAAAATTTAAATATGTAAAACATAATAGGTCTTCCCTAGAGCATAGAGGGACTTCAAGGCTGGCATAAGCAAAAGCCTCAAAGTACAATCAACTGGAACAAATATTTACATAATTAAATGAACAAAAGTCTGGTTTTCTGTATATTCTAGTTAATGTGATGTACAACACAAATCAGCTGAAGCAATGCCAAGTTTCCAAGACAAAAATCACAAGCACTTTGGATCAAGCAAACTCACCTATTGATCTCTGTGATTATGTAATGTAAAAATTCACTTACCAAAAATGTAAGGAATAAACCCTGGATTTGAGATATAAGTATTTAAAAAAAGAATAGTTTCTCCAGTTTAAATTTAGCTTGTTGTTTTCCCTTCTCCTCTCCTTACCAGCTGTAGGTGCTTAGTTAGAGGAATATCAAGTCCTGAAAATCTTGCTAAGTAACAAGGTTAAAAATCTCTTCTGACTTTTACATAATATTCTATTTCAAGAATTGTGTTGCTGCCTTAAATTCTGATACAGGATGAAGATGCAACACCTCCTGTGAAGTCTAACACAGGGAAAGGTTTTGAGACAATGACAAGATTTGTTAAGTACAACTGTTAAAAAAACCCAACACCAGCTATCTTTAACAATTCAAGAGAATCACACTTAGTGAAGTGTGACTGGATGTCTTTGTGGCAGCCTTATGAATCACAATTATCAAGATACTTTAAACTAATACTACCAGCAATGTCTGAGCTCTGAGCAAATAGATATTCATTATATCAGGAGCAGCATTTTAGCTAGCTCATAGCAAGTTTTCATACAACACATTTACCCAGTGAGAAGCACCCTACCCCGAAAATTCCACTTCTGTATTGTGCTCTGTAGTAAACTTCAGGCAAGTCTAGTCCAAGGTAAAACAGCTGTGCGACAGCTGAGATGATATTCTACACAGGCAGCTAAATCTCTGGATGGATTGGAAAGAGATCCAAAGGATGAATGTGGAGAAAGATGGTTGCAGGTTGGCCAGGATATTAAAATAGTGTGCTAAGAGTCCTCATGGCAGATTCCTTAGCAAAGCTCAGTGTTCCAAGAAGACACCTTGCCAAACAAACAACCTGATTTTTAGACACCAAATAAACTATCAACCTGCCTGGGTGATGATATAAAATAAGTCAATGTCTTGCTTTTAGTTGCCTCCTGCAGTTGCTTTACACTACGGGGAACCTATTACCTGCAGATAATGGCTGTCACATGTTTACCACATTTCTGGGAAAACCATGTTCCCTCAAGAAGAGCGCAATGCCTAAAAATAGTGAAAGAATAAGATGAGCCTTCTGTAAGTACTCAGTACAGCCTAGAGATCCTAGAAATTTTATGAGAAACAATGCTGTTTTTTGGGGTTTTTTTGAGGTCATCACCAAGACATACCACATTCTCATATCTTTCTTCTTTTTGTAAAGAATAGCTACCATAGACTGATTGAAAGGCAAAAGAAATGTTTTGAATTGCTAAGAAGCAAAGACATTTCTGATGCAAAGACTTGGACAAGATGTTTGCATATTTGTAATTGCCAAAATAAATAGGAATCCCTCTCATAACTGAAGCAACAGAATCAGATATACTAAAGCAGGCTGGATCTTGAATTTCTCAGTGAAAACACTCACTGTGTAGAGAAAGCTCCTTTGTACACTGAGTAGATAAAGCTGAAGAAAAGTGGGAACAATGAGTCCTGGTTTATGGGTTTAACTGGTTTTCCCATAATAGCATTATTTAAAATGTCCATAGCCCATAAAGTTGTACTGGAGACCTTCTATTGATCTTTCTCAAGGAGATCATTAAACAGATCCTTTTATTTGGACACCACAGGTTTAACAACCATAGGAAGCCTTGGCAATCCTGGCCAGAAATGCTTGTGAATCACCACAATACAGTAATTGATCTTGCAGCTGTGTGGTAAACATTAAAGACAACTTGTAAAATCACAGTAGCTGCCACTTCCCATTCAGTTAATCACACATCAATTCCAACTTTGTGACAGGAAACCTGCAAATAATAAAAGTTCCCTAACTATCTGATATATATATCCTGTCAGCAGTGCAAGGCAGTTCAATGCAACACAATGCAAAATAATTGAGGAACAAATCTTCATCAAAGCAGTGTGTTTACATTCTTTTCTGTGTTACATTGGGTGCATACATGTTTCTTTCAATTGCTGTCAAATTTCTTTCAGAGGAAGGACACAGCAGGGTAAGTATATCTTCTAACATATAAATTTAACACAATTTTTTGATATTTTCTAAGTTCATCTGTGAATTGCTGAATAAGACACTTCATTCCTTCACTTTCTATCAGCACATCACCAGGAGTGCTGGTGCAACCAGCAGGGATGTCTGGCACCAGTCAGTGATGCCACATCTAATTTAGTACAGGATCTGACTCAAAGGACCTGATATTCTGGTGAATATTAGAGGGAATTCATGAAGTCTCTTCAGAAGCACCATGATGGCCAAGACTGGGAACAGAGAATTTTATCAGGTCTGCTGCTTTGGGTGGCAAAACATCTGCCCTGCAAAGAGGTAGAATAGATAGATGAAGTTTAAGGGCAGCCTCAGTTTCTCATGGGATAAGGTATGTGTGAAAGAAAGAAACAGAGCAAAAGTCTTCTCTTTCCTTCATATGTAGAGGAAGAATTGTGTGTTGAGATGCTACAGAATACAGGAATTTCAGGGAATTAACAATATCAATATAATCAGCTGGAAGTGTGAATATATGACTGAGGGCAAAGAATTAAAAAAATAACTTTCTTCCTGAAATTTTCTGGGGTTTGTTTTTTCAGATAAAGCAAGTGTTGGGAAAAGCAGACACAAGAAGTGTTCAGTGATCCTCCACTAATATTTTCTGGCCCTCCATGTGATTTTCACTTTGAATTACAATGGTAGGAGACTTCATTGCAAGGTGGTCCAAGGAACCACCTGAGTGGGTTTGTTCCTCATTTTAACCTCCTTCCACACACACAAAATCATCTCAGTGGACAAAGGTATAGCTCAAGATCTACTTAAAGAAGGAGGTAGAAGATTGACCATATAAGAGAAGAGAAAATAATTTCCATGGAAGCCTCCAAAACCTAAAAGGAACCTGTAATTGGGAAATGTTTCTCTGAGAAACTATGGTTTCTCACTTCATGTACACAAAAGAGAACCATTTAATTCTGATCTTGAAGAGCACTGAGGTGGCTTTTCCCCTATTCTTGCTCATGCTCCATCTTGAAAAAAGTGGAGCACTAAATTATATAGGTGACAGGGGTTTTTTTCCACACTAACTGAGAATCCTTCCCACAAAGAGCATTTTAAATTCATCATTTATGATTCCGTAACATCTTCTTCGCACAGCTTAAGCAAAGCAGTCTGAAGACTAAATTCAGAATTTGGCTTTCTAAAATCACGATAAATTTACCATCTTGAAAATGCTCAAGGTCCCAAGCTTTAAAGATGTGATGCCACTTAATTCCTTTTGAACATGGACCAAAAGTTGTTTTTCAAAAGGATGCCAGCCAAAAGTCAAGCTGACTACTGAATTTAAAAATTCTGTCATAGCTACATATTTCCATTGCTAGGTAAAATCCTACTGATTTTTCTAACATGCTTGATAAGTATATTTAGGAGAAATGGAGATGATCCTAATTTATGTCCATTCTCAATATAATAATTTATTAAATTCAAACTTTTGTAACCAGCTGAGGACAGTGGTGGTATTTAGGTAATCCTTACACCTTGCACAGATGGGAAATATGTCTCACAATTTTTTATTATGTTGAAAGTTCAGGAGAATGAATCTCACCTGTCAGCATTTCCATACTTATAGACCCAGCAATCCATTTTCTGGCAAAACTGACTCAAGAAAACTCTAAGCTATGGAAATATAAAATATGAATTCCCTATATCACAGTAACCATATGGTAAGAGACATATATCATAGCCAGTAATATTTTTAACTGATTCAGTGATTCCATGTTCACTGATTTTGTGCTTGCTTCAGAGGGTGTATGATCTTTGGACATCTCCTACACTGAATCCAGCCATGCTTTGAGAAGCTTTAAAACAAGCCCTCTTGTTTGGTACAGTTTATATTTTTTCCTAATTGAAAAAGCAGTTTTTAAGGCTTCAAAATTATATTGGACACCATGCTGTAAAAAAATATAATGCTACAATAAAAACAAAAGGCAGATAAATGTGAATATCAAATAAATTTATAACAACATTGTTATGGAAATAGAAGAATATGGTAATACTTTAACACATCTTCTGGACAGATTGCTTCAAAAATATTTTTCCTTGACAAATCCTTTGAAAATTACAACCTTTTGTGTGTTGTTTTTTCTTATGACAGTGCTTCCTCTCCACATTTTCATTTGCATTTTTTTTAGCTACTGTAAAATAAAAGTGTAAAATATAGCTATCACTAGCAACAGTGACAAGTCTAAATAAGTATTTTGTATATATGCATGTATTTGTGCTACAAGAGATTTAAAAAAAAAAATTGTCCTTGAAAGAAAATTATGTGCAAAGACTGGAACAGTGAACATTTATTTGTTTTAGCTTGCAATAAAATTTTCAATAACCATGTAATTGCCTTTTCTGATTTCATATCCCAAGGGTCTCAGGCCACCAGCTGAGGAACACTGTCTTGGGGAGAAGCACACTGAGAAAGAGAATGGCTTTGCAGTAGCAGAACACCAAGAAAAACTTCATTATCACTGTTACTGACAAAATAAAATGCTGGTTCAGGTTTCCATTTGAATAACAAGTTTAAATTTCAGGAATTTCCTTCAATTCAAACAAGAAAAAATAAATCAGCAGATAACAGATACAGCAACATGTGCATCTTTCCATGGGGCTTTTTTCTGTGTTTAAATTTTTTTGTTACTAACTGAAGTCTATTTCTGACACCAGATGTGATCCATAAATTCAGTTCCAGAGGATTAAAAACAAAAAAAGTGAAGAACCTCACAATTTTTTCCATTTTTTTAATAGAGAAAAATGAAAACTTATTACCTCAGGAGAAGGCAGTCGTGTCATATCTACCTCACCACCAAGTGGGGAAGAAAGAAGTTTGTCACCTAGAATACTTTTCAAGCAGAATGCCATCACTTCCTGCTGTTTAGGGCTGCAGTGGTTCTCCAAAGACAGTACAAGTGGATAGGCAGATGACTGGAAACATAATTTTGGGATTTTAGTATTAATGAATAAAAATGAGAATAATTGCTTTTCCAAAACATCTTACAAAAGTCCCCTCGGCAATCTGTATTTACCTTCATTTTCAAAGCATGCAGAATACAGATCAGTAGTTTCAGGTTAGTAAGACAATATAAAAGCTCACATTTGTGGAAAAGAGAAAGTAAAATTGAAGAAGAAAAAAATGCACCTTCAGAAAGCTAAAGCAGAGCTGGACATAGGCAGAGATGTAAAAAGAACTGCTTTGTTTTGGTTTTAAATGGTAAAATCAAATTCTAAAATTAAAATTGACAACATAAAACAAGATTAAATGTCTTTTGCTTTAGTTTTTGACAGATTTTTTGGATTACTTTTCAAGCTGATAGTTTCCCCAAAGTTTGTTCAGAAATTATTGCTTTTGCAAAGACAAGCTATGCATTTTTTATTATTTTTAATAATATCATAAACATTTCTAGAGACAATCTATACTTTACTCATCACAGTACTCAAGCAAGGATAATTGAGTAAAAATTGAAGGTAAAAGGTGAAAAGGGGAAAGTCAGTAAAAATTAGATTATAACTCAAAAGAAACACATCCATTTAAGCATATAAATAAGTCTCAGAAGTTGCCAGCAATACTGGTGGTTACCAAAACCATAGTCTGAATGAAATCTTAGCTCAGGCAGGACCTAAATTGTCAATAAGAAAAACACCATTTTATTTTTTCCTGTCTTTGCATTTTTTCCCATGAGCTTTTTTTAAGAGAAGCAGAGATCAGCCTGCATGGACAGCTGGTACCAACCATTACCTGGTGTGATTTTATCATCTCATTGGCACTTGGGCTTGAGAAATAAAGTTTGCATTAGAGTTAAGCACAATATATTGTGTATTAGCAAGAATAGGAGAGTTATATCCAATGAGTTTTGAAAAACAGTGGAATAAAATCATGGTTTTAATTTCACTTTTAAAATCAGAGATTAATTAAATTGTATACAGAAAACTGAAGAGAAAAAAACATAGCTTTCATTAGCACTGAGAAGGCTAATAACACATATGTGTAAAAATCCACATAAATTTATGATCACGGATGTATAAATTCAGACACATAATGCTGGCCTGATTCTGAGATTTGTATTAATAGTCATACAGCACTTGCTTTGAGCAGGAATTTTGCCAAAAGCCTATACAAAAGCCTGAGACAGTGCCAAAAACTCTCCAGATCTCAGTGCTTTTCCAGAGATAGGCAGAAGGAACCTTGCCCTGTGAGTCACCTGACCAAAAAAATCAGTAGCTGCTAACACTTATCAGGTCAACATTCAAAATAAAAAGGGAGGAAATGGAAAACAAAGTCTCAGATTTATCTATTATCTAAAATTTGTGTCTATTTCATAAAGTCATATATAGGATATAAGACAGACTGATAGCAGTAGAAGAATAAGTGACACAAAAACCGTTAAAAGATATAAAAAGGGAGAAAAATGTCAGACCAATTCTGAAGTAGATCTTCAATTTATATTCAATCCTTGTTTAAATGATCTGAGGTGAGAATTACACCTAAGAACCTGAGTAAGATCACCTGAATCCTTTGCACGAAGTTTGGTGCATATTCATTATCAGGAAAAATTATTATGATTCCTTTAAAAGTTTTTAAAATACATTAAGAATACATAGCACAATTGCTCTGTAATTAATTTTGACAATGCCCATTGCCACATGCTGTTTCATATTTTTTTACCCTGGAGAATCTAATCTATAAGAGCCATGTCCCTGGCTTAGTCAAAGCCACCATCCCAACTTATTTCTGCAAACATATATCTATACATACCATAAATGCATACTTCTCAATCACATGAATTACAGAACGAAATGGGATTTTGCTTGTTAAAGTGTGACCATGGTACACAATAGGTTCATTGTTGTGGCCATCCCAGCAGTCAATCTCCAGGCAACGACATCCTTTTAAGAGAGCACTTCACAAGAACAAGAGAAATCATTTCACAGCCAAAAGAAAGATACCATACTTTTTTATACACGTTGATGTATTTCTTTTTACAAGCACAGTGATCAATTACAGGAAAACCACCTCAGTTTCATCATAAGTAAAAATAAACCCTACAGAATTGTACATATATGAGACACACATATTTTCTGTTGCTTATTCTAGGTGTGTTATGTAATAAACTTTCTTAGAGCACTAAAGAATATGGGATTACCTGAATTATCTTCCTTAAAATGAGGGTCAAAGATTTCAATAAAGGAATTTTGGAATAAAGATAAATTTTCACTTAAAACAGAAGAATAAATATTTTAAATGGTCTTTTGTATTACTCTTCCAAACTTGCTTGCAATTTTGAGAATGCCTGTATTTAAAGATCCATTGCACTTAGAGAATCAGGTTGCACTTTGTCTTTACATAAGTCAGTTCTCCCCAGCCCACATTTCTAAGAGGGAGTGCTAAAGTTTCTCAGGCACCTTGACTTTCCTGCTTTAATTTTAATACGTTAGTGGCAGCCCTTAAATTCTTAGGTTTCTAATATTTGACTTGCAACTAACTGAAACATTCCTTATAAACCCTTTCACTTAATTACCAATCTGTCTTTTACACGCTGCTTTTCACACATTAACAGTATGTCAAATATGCCTCTAGCTGATTTTAGCATTTTCCTCACACAAATAATAGATAAAGAGGAAAAGAGAGGGGGCTATACCCTCTTTGCAATGACTTTCAGCAATGCAGCATTCACATAATGGAATTTTAAATACTGTTAATTATTCAGTACTGTTTCTGATAGTTGCAGGTCACTATAGAACATTAAGAAAGCAACCAAAAAAAAAGAGTCCAGATAGATGATGGTTCCAACTTCTTTCTCTTCACTAAAGCAGTACAAATAATAGGAATTCTAGACACAGCTCTTCCTAATTCTTAATATATCCTGCCCTCAGTGTTGCCTTTGTTACACAATGCATTTCCATCTTCCCTGCCATCCTGGTCCTCCTCCTCCTGGAGTCACACACTGCAGAGGTTCCTCCCCTGCTGGCTGCTTGAATGCCCACGTTTTGTGGTTTTTGTTGTTTCTAAACTGCCCACATGCACTGACCACAAATGTTCTTGACACAGATACACTCCAACACACATCCTCTATATTGAACAGATTAGAGCTTGCCCAGGATTTTTACCTTTCTTTCAGGGAGTTATTTATTTTTGCACGGTGTGTTGAGATTAAAAACTGATTTAATCATGTACTGTACACCATACTATAGATTTCATTTGCTGCAAGGTTGACTTTCTGAGATGTAAGTGAAAAAAATAAATTGTTTCCAGACTATGAACAGATGGTTTGGCAAATATATTGAAAAGTGTGCACATAAAATAAAATACTACTCTCACATTTTCAACTTGTATCTTTGATGGCTTTGTCCCTTTTTGCCAAGTAGGAGTGTATGTGACTTAGCAGTCATTTCAAAAAAGCCAAAGAATATTTAAAATATTAAAAAACAATGTCTAAATACCTGGTATATCCCCATAAATGACTGGGTCCCATTAGTTGGTCAGCTATCAAGTAGGTGTTGTGAGAAGATGAAATAAAATAGTCACACAATGGCTGGGTCATGTCTTGATAGACGCTCCTGTGCTGGATTTTAAATATTGAACATTCGTCTGAGTTCATGTACCTTATAAATCCTTCAAATGACATCTGCCTTCTCTTCCTCACTGCACAAAAACAAAAGGAAAAACATCTCTGTCAGGAAGCCACTCTGATGGTTGTATCTATGTCCTTTCTGAAACTTTTAATAGCCAATTCTGAACACTGCTGAAAGTTATACAGCACAACACTTTCCTGAAATTTTAAAGTTCATAACAAATGTATAAATAACTCAAAAATCAGATACATGTGGCTCTGGAGCTGAATTGCTGTGGTTCAAACTTCTGAGAGGAAATAAATGTGTTTTGGCACTTTTATTCTTCTATGGACAGCAGTAAGAAGAGTTTTCAGTAGTCCTGATTAAATACAAAGTAAAATATTTTTTATTTAATTTGGAAAGTAACATGACATGCCAGACAATGAGATAAGAGAATCTTCTTTTCCCTTTTAAGAGAACCAGAATTGTTCTCTAAAAGTCAGTAAGAAATTCGCAATATAATCTTGCAGAAACTATGACTCCTAGCACCAAATATCTTCTCCAGGGGTGGAAAATTTCAAATAAATATTGATCAAATCATGTTTAGAAATATTTGAAATATAAATAGCATCTTAACAAAAGAATTTACTGCCCACACAGATGAATTGCAAATCAAGCTTATTACACTACTGCATTTAAAACAAAATTAACTGAGTCCATCCCAGTGATAGTCATCTCATTTGTTCTGCTTTTGACTGATTTAATGGCAAACAGAGCCATTACACTGCCAGCTATTGCTCCCAATGTCCTGTTTCAAATGCAGTCATTTTGCAAATGATATCATCTCAAAAGTCAGCTTTGCTTCAAAACATAGTTTGAATTAGTGAGGGATTTTGCCCAGTTCTTACTCTAAAATAACTTTATTGTCACCGTAGCAGCCCAGTAGTGAACAAGCAGTAAATAATCCAAGATTATTTTATACTAACAATAACTTAGAAATCAATGTATACAAACTTGAGGACTGGAAATATCTGCAGGAAAACCCCCTTTTCTGCCCTGGTAATTCTTACTACAGCTGTAAGTATCAGAATGCAAAAGTTAGAATTGCAAAGAATTATCAATCTTTGGGGTGTAACAGAGTGAAAGTTTTACACCTGAATGAGAATTTACAGAAAATAATTATTTCTCTATAACACAGGTCTTTGAATTAGAAAACTTGCAATGTTTTACAATGATAAAGAAAAACAGAAGGCCATGCAGACATCAAACATACACTCACTGCACCACTGTTATTCCTACCAGAAGTCTTTCTGAAATTATTCTTCCACACTTCCATTGATCAAGAATCCACAGACAACCCAGTAAAACCATTTCAACATCTAAATAACCTTATTTTCAGGAAATTTTCCATAATTAGGAAACAGAATTTTGCCCTGAAACTTCCTTGCTGTCCAAAATATTTTATCAGTTTGATATTACTCCTCTCCTCTGTTTCCACACTCTTTCACTGGTGAAAACTACTCTCACACTTCCCTCATTCCAGTGCTTTCCACAAAAACAAATCCAAGCCAGGGCATCTTTCTGTTTCAGATTTATGATCATTTTCATTTTTCTGCTATCCACCTGTGCTGTTAATCTTTCATAGGAGAAAACAGGATCCTATTTCTTCATGGAATGTCCTGACAAACTGCTACTCGCCTTTACCACTTTAGAAGGGTTTACATATTTGTTATTTGCTCCATTTTTTTTCTAGTAACTGACAGTGTCCAGTTGCTTGGATGTTCCCTTTCTAAAATAGATATTACATTTGAACTTTTCCAGTCTTTCAATTCATCATTCATTTCCCCCCTATTTTCAAAAGTAACCTTTGACTTGTATTAGCCAAGCTTGTTGCAGTCAATTTTCTAAGAACTTGGATTTGTCAATCTGTCTTCACTGACCTGATTACATCATTTAAGAAGGTCCTACCCTGTTTCATCCATATTTTTTGACTGAGATCTTACTCAGATCAATAATATTACAGAGGAATTTCTTTGGTCTTTTAACTAAGAGATTTGCAGGATGACTTCTTGACACCCTGATGACTCTTGAAAAGAGTATCCTACTTAGTATTTTGACTTAGATTTATCAACATGCATGTGTTATATTGTTCTATACTTGTACAATAGAATTAATTTTCTACTTTCTAGATTTTTAAAAACAATTTTGAATTTTTTAAATGTTATTTCAAACATAATACACTCATCCTATATGCTTTGCCTATAATGAATTACATGAACTGTCTGGATTTCATTTCTGATTAATTTATTTTTCATGGCCTGTCTATTTCTCTGAGCAATTACAAGTAGAGGTAGTAACTATTTGTGTGTGTGTGTGAGCATTTTTTTGTTTTCTAATAATTCTTACCTTTACTGCATTTACTTATTAAATTAGTGAAAAATACTGGCTTTTCAAAGTCTTGCTTTTTTTCTGAATTATTTATTATGTTTTCCTGGCTGTTCTTGTCATTGACAAAAGTTAACTGCAATATTCTCAAGAGAAATTAATGTTTATGCAAATATACTGATGAGCATAATCCCCCAAAAATGAACATCTAGCATTGTTTTGTTAGTCAATATGGACTTCAATAAAACATTCAGCTCATGTCTCCAATCAACAGAATAAAAATCTTTGTATTTTTAAAGAGCTTATTACAGGCTCTTACATTTCTGAGGAATAGCCCAGTCACACTATTTTCTGACCGTTTACAGACATTTTCTGCTTCTCCATTAAAGGAAATGGGAATTCATCTACATAACTATTCCACAGTGAAAAGACTTTCATCAAGGCCTTACATTTTTCCCCCTGAGGAACCTCAGTCTTTTTCTCCATTAGGACCTTTTAGCAGTAGCTAGTGTGCACACACATATCCATCCCTTGCAGAAAGGGAAGGCAAGTAAAGATTTCTGTCTTCTCATTGCCTCTTTCTGTTCACAAAGTTCAATGATTTCTTTCTTGCCCTCCTCTTTTGGACAGTGTGGAATTCATTTTATTAGCAATACTCTTTTATATTGTTTGGGTTTTTTTAAAATCTGATATAGGAAAAAATTATTTTTCTCATTCCTCCTGTTAAGGTAAACTCCAGTTCTGCCACATATACAAATACTGTCACATCAGAGAGGAATTATGGATATAACCTGAGTATTTGAAAGACTCTGATTACGTTATACATTATTTTCAGTGTTTATTACATTCTGCTTTCTTATTTATCTTGGAACTTCTTTGAAAGTATTTTTCTTCCTATTTGGAAAGAAAAAATTGGAAACTTTCATAAGATATTTGCTGCCCTGAAGGCCTGTAGGGTACCCACACTGAAGCAGAGAAAACAAGAAATCATTCTGCACTGGCCAGAGCCTCCTTCAAGACCTGTTTCCTCCTGGAGTGGAACATAGAGAGTAGTGTAGGTGTATCGCTTGGTGAGAAATTGAGGTTTTAAAATTTTTAATATGTTGTGGATAAAAGCAAAATGAAAGACACAGGGTGTCATCCTGAATTTCTTCTTCATGCTTCTTCTTCCTTCTTCTTTATGAGTTTAGGTGGGTTTTGTAATTGCACAGAAAAGTCCTCACTGGGGGCACTTTGGGATCGGTTATTGGGTTAAAAGGGAAAATAACCTAAGTGTCAGCTCTTAATTGAATAGTTTAGTCTTAAAAGACCTTTTAACAAGAAATTGTTGGCCATTTTGTGCCTTCTAATGAAAAACTGCCCAACTCACAATAATAAGACTGTTTTACTAATAAAAAACAATAAACACTTGAGTCCAAACATGAACTCCCATCTCAAGTGCCTTCAATCCAGACCCCAAAAAACCAACACTGGAGGGACTGAGTACAACCTGCAGCCCTCTGGACTGAAGTAGAGACTGGGGAGTGGGGAAGAGAAGAACCTGAACTGAATTTGAGACTAGAAAATGGGGAGAAAGGAGTTTCCCATGGTTTTAAATGTATGTGTGTGCTTTTTGTTTCCTAGGAGCAGAATTAGTAATTAAATATCTACATTACTTGGCCTCCAGAGATAGTAAAGTGGGTACAGATATATTTACTGGTAATTTTAGGGGGGAACTCATGAGAAAGGCTTGCAGAGACCAGGGTGTTCCTCTGTTGTACTGGAAGGAGGAAGCTTTCAATCATTGTTAAAAGTCAGGCAGAAACATCATCAGATGGACTTTCATACTGTGAAATTTGACTACTTTACATCAGAATGAAACATTCATGCTCTAAGGGAGCATTAAAGAGGGAAGTATTTCCCTGACTAAAGTAAAAATACAGTTATTCCTCAAAGTAAAAATACAGTTATTCCTTTTCTACTCTGAGTTTACATTCTAGGGAGGCTTTTTTCTACCTTACTTACACCTATAACTGGTGCATACTGGAATAAAGTATCTATCTGAACAGTTCAGTTCAGTTTCCTAAGGGCTTTTATCTCATAATCACCTTCTTTTGAAAATTTTCCCTGAGACTGGGTATTTACACACCCTTTCATCCATCTGAACTATTCTGTCTCACAAATCCAGCCACAGCCATTGTCTTTGTTGAGATTTTGAAGTCATCTTTCTTGCTTCACATGATTTTTTTATGAAATCTGTAGGACTTTGACAGAGATGTCTGCTTTATTAAATTTGATTTACATTGGCCAATGGGATCAAATGTTCTATTCTTCAAATTTCTGCCCTACATCCTGCTCTGTCTCTCACAAACATGCTCAAAAAAACCCAAGAAAACCCTCATGACTGTGTATACTAGAATGAACTGAAAATGGTATTTTGCTTCACAAACACATTCTGGATTACTCAAAGTCCTTATCTGACAGATGCACCAGGCTTATATTGTTATTTACAAAGCAAGCTGGTTTTTAAGACAGGATTGCATTTTTGCCCTGTTTTTGTATTGCCTAGCAGTAAAATAGGCAGGAGTAGAGTCTTTGAGTGGCAGTACATTATAAATAATAATGGGATGCACCTTCTTATCCTCACTCTGCCTCTAATCCTATCCATGTAAATGAGAAGCATTTTTTTTAAAAAAAAAAGACATATATACCAAGCTAAAAAAAATGCATTTAGTTGGCATTTTTTCTTTAACCTCATTTAATGAGTCAAGGCTTCTATTCAAAGCTAATAGTAGAATGGGCATATAATGGGATGTTTGGGAAGAACAAAACTGAAATTTAGGTGTTAGTAAGACATAAATGTCAGTTGTGAATCATATATTCATATTTTGTGATCAATTCCATAGAAATGGCTCTTTCTGCCAAAAATGCAAGCTTTTAGCATACACATGAAAAAATTTGTTAGCGCAGCATTTTGACATTAGGCATTTAAATTGTATAATAAAAATGAAAGAGTAATTCCTTCCTGAAGTAGCTATAGTACCCACAGAGAGGAAATTCAGAGTTATCTGGCCCAATATATTTGGAAATCTCTCTGCACAAATGTTAGGGATGCACTAAATGCTGTAAATGGATTTATTTAATTTATATGTAAAATGTAGTCATTGCTTTCATCTTAATTGTTTTAATCTTGACATACCAGTGCTATCATATTGATGAGAGAATGGTCATTACTATTAGCAAACCTGTCAATCAAGTGTCAAAACCTGCCCTTGTCCCTCTCTGTAAAGCAGAGGGCAAGGGTGACAGATGAGTCCAACGGATCATCCTGATGAAGAACGTTCTGTAGCAAATTCAGAATGACAGTTGCACAAAATGGTCTATCACAATACCATATGAATCATCCCCCACGTCAATCATAACTGGAACTTTTCAATAAATATGTCTGAGTGGGAGTTTGAATTCACTCAAAGATGCATGAACAATACAGAGATTATTTTGTTCAGCATTATTTCCAATTATGAGACAAACAAATTTATCACAGGTGAAGAAACAAACAAGAATTTGGCTCAGCATCTGAAATTTAAACCAAACATCAAATTAAACCTATAGAAACATCAGTTGATATTTACAAAGGCGTTTTCCAATAGACTGAAGATTTTTCATTGTTTAACTGTGTTATAGCTCTTAACTTTCCCATCAAAACAAGTGACACAAAATAAAAGGAACATTTTAAACTGGTAACTTGTACAATTAGTAAACATTACTTCCTCTGAAAGAGTAGAATATGTTCAAAAATGTACAGTCAAATACGAAAAGCAACCTCAAAGAGTAAGGGCATAAGGAGTCACGTGTTTTGCAGCTATTACTGGACAGTAAGTGTCTCTTAATGAAATACCAAATGTTCTTCTGTTTCTCATTGAAAAAGTGGCATTTCCATTTTCTTCTTTCACAAGTCAGGATAGAAAACCTGGGTTTTTCATCCCAGAAGAAATATTTTCTCCTTGGGTTTGCTTTTCCTAACCAGTTATCAATTCTGCCCATTTTCAAAGGCTGGGAACCAAGGAAATGGAAGAATTAAACACATTCCACTGAATAAAATAACAGCTTCCAACAAAATGCAGCTATATCCTTTTCATAGCTCAGTGGTAAAATTTGCCACAAGTTGAAATCAGTGAAACTCAGCAGAAGTGTTGCACTTCAACTTGGGCCACCTTGAAATAGGTGAAGAACATGTCAGAGATTTATGAACCTCTCCTCATCTCAGAGTTCTGGGGAATCAGAAAGGGTGACCAGGCACCTGTGAAAATCTTACACAGTGCTTCTGCAAGGGAGTCAGAGGGACATCAAAGTCTTGTCTGAAGCCTTGCAGTATCACTAAATGACTCAAGGGAAAGAAGGCAGGGTAACGAGCAGACAAGAAAAATGGCAGACAAGAACTTTAAGAAAAACAAATTGGAAATGGTTTGTAATGAGTTGAAGGACAGAATTTATAGAAGGACTAGAAAGAAAAGATTAAAAATTACAGAAAAAAGGAGAGAGCAGAGAAAGAAAGGCACTATGAAAATTAATTAAAACAAAGGAAGAAAAGTAATTAATAGATGAAAAGACATGCTTTAAAATAAATAAAGAGATGAGGTTTTGCAAAACCAAGTCATTGAGAGAAGCACAATAAATCAGAGCTAGATATCAAATAATTTAACTGTGCATACCTTCATCAATGGGTTCATACTTCAGAATAATTTCTAAGACAGTTGTTTCATTAGCTTCAGTTTGAAATTGTTCTTTTGCAAGAAATTTCAGGAGCTGGCCTTCAGGTAGAATGTTGCCATCTATTGAATAAGCCTTGAATAGTTCTTCAAATTCAGGTCTGTGTACAAGAGCTCGATAAATTGCTCTGAAGTCGTCCATGCTAATTATATCTCCTGAGTGTTTGTCAATGGTTTTCTGAGGAAAGAAGCAACCAAAAGAATTTCTTTTGAAAAAATCAATAAAACAACCTTCATATATTCAAAGTTATGCACCAAACATTTTTTTATAACTGACCATAGGAGTAAAAATCATAGAAGAATCCAACAGCGACTACAATCAGATTACATTATTCAACTTTTAGATTATGCTTTGTGTGCTACAAATATTTTATATAAAGTAAAATGGACCATATGACATAATTAACATCTAAATAAGTACAATAAATTTAGATTTAATGCATTTTAATATTAAAATATATTGTAGAAAATCTCTAAAATGCTATGCATTAAAACAAATGGGCAGCATAAAACTTATCAAGTGGAAAATATATTTAGCATAATACCTCTCTAACAGCTATTGACATCATATTGTAAATAGTCAGTGAAATTTGCATACAAAAACATCAACCAGTAATGTTAAAAATGACATAAGGATATCCAAATTATCAAGGGACAAGTCTTTTAACACTTCAAAGAAGAAACACTAATAAAAATTGAAGATGATATTTTATAATAACCTATGACATCATGTTCTGTTCTTAACAAGCCAGAATGTTTAACTTAGGTTAATTATTCATGCTTTCAGAATTCTTCAATTTAAGCTTGTTTTCATAGAGCTTAAAAAATGTTAGCATAGTAATTAATTTCAGTGTTTCAGTGTAAAAGCCAAAAGAAAAGTTAAAAGGGCAAAAGAATTTGAATAGAATTATATTTTTTACCATTTCTGCCTTTTGTGGTTTTCTCAGGTTTAACAATTCAAATTTTCCTTTAAAATTTTCTACTCAAAATAAGTACCTGCATACAAAATATAAATGTTTGTAACATTTTAGCCTGAAATATTCTTAAAAGTTGCCAAATTAAGAGAAATCTGCTGACAAAATTGCTCACAAAAATAAAAAAAAAAAAAAGGGCAATCTACTGCCTCAGTGATCATCACTGTAAATTGATGAAAATTCCTAATTGTTGGCTCCTTAAACAGAAAGTGCCAAAGAGGCCAAGTTCCAGCATCCAAAACATGGCACTTACAATGGCTGGGTTGGCTTCCACCAAAGTGTCTATAAACAGGAAATTGCTTACTTGAGCTCTGACTGCTCTTTGATCAAGATTTGGGATTACTGCTCAATTAGATTGGTTTTGAAGCCATAGCATAAAATCTAAAATTTAATGATCCACTGACAGTTCCTTCCTACTCAGTACAGTTCCGACTGTACTTCTGAATAAGTACAACAATAGGATTAAAAATATATTAGATAACTAAAACAAGTAGAAAATTAATTTCATGAGTTCTAGTGAAAGCATCCTACAAATCAGTACTTCAGTATTTGCTTTGAGTTTGTGAAAGAGAATAATAATGATTTTTAACAGAAGTCACTAGCAAGAAAATATTTTTGTACAAATGCTAATTATTCACATTTCAGTATTGCTGAAAAATTCCCCAGCTAAGGTTGATATCTTCAATCCAATTTTTAATGTTCTTAACAATACAGCAAATTTGCTCATAACCATTAAGCAGGAAAAGAGAATACCAACTTATTTTGGAAATAAACAGTCTATCAGGACTTGGAAGATGTTCACTTAGTTGCTGGCACAAAGAGAAGCTGGGCAAAAAAATTAAAGTTTCTATTTTAGTTGCCTTTTGATGAAATACAGGCAATAATACTACATAAGAGAGCTCTAAAAATTAAAGTTATAAAAATCATGTCACTATAAAAAGATATTCTTACAATTTTGGGGGTAGATTTTTGTCATTCCTATTTTTATTAATGCACATCAAATCTTTGCTGTTCAGAAAAAGATGAGACAAAGAGTCTTGAGAGAAAGTATATGAAAATTTATTATTCCTTAAAACCTTAATGTTTATATTGCTCAAAAGAGTATTACAGTAAAACAAACTCAAAGAGAACAGACAAGAAAGAAAAGCAGGTTATTCCTTTAAATTGGTTTTCTATAAAATGTATTTTGCTATGTGTAACCATTAGATTAACTGCTGATGTGTAGTTACTCACAATGATGTCAGTAAGATCCCCTTCCAGAATGCTTTGAATTTTTACATGTTATTACACTGATTAAATATTTGAGCCCCCCAAACTACTGGGCACCTGTAAATCTTTCCCAAATAGCAAAGAACACCTATCAGTACTGCAATAAATAACTAGATCAGGCTATTGGGTATAATAGGTTATTAAACACAACTAGATCAGACTTGTTCTTTGCAGGTCACTTCCCTCAAATAATTCTTTTTTCTACCCACAGCTGATCTCTCTCAAACTCCTGCCAGAAACCAAAGTAGGAGGAAGACAGAGGAAACAGTGAGAAATATTTTTAAATTCTCAAGAGCTTCTCCAGATCGGCAAATATGCTCTTGCAAGTTCAAAAACCACAGGAAGCCTCTCCAGCCAGGGTTGAGCTCATGCTGTTGGTTCTACCTTGGCTTGACAACAATGAGAGGGGAAGACAGGGTGAGGAAAACTTTGCACCTTCCTTCTTATGACCTAAAAGTCTCTGACTTGCCATAGTTAATTCTCCTCTGCCAAATCAGGACAGAATCAGCCAGCTGGTTACAACATTCTTAAGAATCATGTATAAAATGTGTAAATAAATAAATAAACAAATATGTATTTCTATATATATACACACACTTGTTTTCATTCCCTTAGGGAAACAGCATTACCAGACAGCTGTTTTGGGGGACATAAATGAGGTAAAAGGAAAATCTTACATCTTTTGAGTCATTACAATAAGAACATGTATACCCAGTATGTGCCAAGGCACACAGTTTTCTAGTATTTTCTCACTGGGATGTGGTATTTGTTGGGTCCCCAGGACAAAGGAGGAATTGAGAATCTGACTCCATGTTCTTAGAAGGTTAATTTATTATTTTATGATATTATATTATATTATATTAAATACTATACTAAAAGCGTAACAAAATACTAATTAAGAACTTGTGACTGCTACTAGGGTCCTGACACAGCTAGATCATAGTTGGTCATTGAGAAAAACAATTCACATGCTGGACAAACAATCTCCATACATCATTCCAAAGCAGCAAAACAGGAGAAGCAATCAGACAATTCTCTGAAGCTTCTCAGCTTCTCAGGAGAAAAAATCCTGGCAAGGGATTTTTCAGAAAATATGACAGTAACAGTCAAGATCTGCTTGGCAGTAGTTTGCCTACACTAAATTAACTTATTAAGACCAGTTTCTAGCTGGATGGTGTAACCTTCATGGAAATCTCAAACACTGCCCTGTCTCAAGACCAAATCCTTTCCCTGGAGTGCAATTCCCATCCATTCAGGTACACCTCTTAAATACTCCAGGAGAGGTGTAGTGGAGAACAGAATGAATGGGTGCTGGATCTAAAGCCTGAGCAGCTCAGACAAGTCCAGGTTGTCCTCCTGGCAAGAAGATTTTGAGGAAGTTGCTCTCATGGCTCTGCCCAGCAAACAGGCACATCTGGGTTCATTAGCTTGATCACAGAAAAAGCTGAATAGGATGAAACCAGAATGCTTCAAGTTATCTCAAGTGTGGTAATGTTACAAAAAACCTGGGAATCAAAATTGACGTGTGTTCCATCTGACATTAATCTGTTGTGGTGGAAAGACAGAGTTATGGGGATGTCAGTCTCTTCTCTGAGTACCAAGAAGTAGGACAAGCAGAAGTGGACTCAAGTTGTGCCAGAGATGGTTTACACTGGCTAGTAGGAAAAATTTCTTCACTGAAAGTGTTGTCAAGCATTGGAAGAGGCTGTCCAGGAAAATGTCTGAGTCACCATTCTTTGAAAGTATTTAAGAGACCTGTAGATGTGGTGTTTAGGGACAAGGTTTAGAGGTGGACTTTTCAATGTATTAATAGTTGGACTCAGTGATGTTAGAGGCATTTTCCAATCTAAATGATTGTGATTCAAATACAAGCCCTGGGTTATCTATTTTACACAGAAACAAAAGACCTGGAGGAGGAAAAATCTTTGCTGATTTTGCACACCACTCTAGCACAAAATACATTTCCCAAAAAATTAACTTGAAAAAATTCAGCAAAGGTATGATGTGTGTAACTGAACTTCTGAACTACTAATTGCTTAATGTACATACACCTTACCTTGAAAATATGTTTTAAATGATATTCATCAAAATTTATTTGCATTTTTTCAAGAAGCCTAATGCAACCATCTAAATCAATATTCCCACTCTTGAAATCATTCTGAATGAGATTCCAAAACCATGTATGAGACGTGAAGTTAAGGAAGATTCTGGCCCATGAAATTGCCCATTAATGGGGGGATGAGGGGAAGAAGTTTCATTTTCTTACACCTAAGAAGGTTGTGCTTTCCTTTTCTCATACTCTAGAACATCCTTATCTTCTGACCTGTGAGAATGCAGCAGGCCCTGAGGTGTGCAGGAAGAGATTTTTGCTCTGTCTTCAGAGACTTAGAGGGCAGTGACCAGAAGGGCTGAAGGGAGGGAGTGAAGATGATCAGGGGATGCTCAGGGTGCAGAAAGGGGTGCAGTGAGAGGAGGGAAATGTGGGGAGACCGAGGGCACTCAGCAGCAGCAGGGAATGGTGGGAAATGCCAGGAAGCACCAAGGAATGAGTGTCCCCAGCACTGTGCCAACCCAAACCTTATCAACAGGCCCTGGCTGATGGGACTGGCTGCCCCAGGCCATCCCTGCCACCCTCCTGTGTGCCCAGGCCACCTCCAGGCCTGAGGGGAAAGAGACACATCAGGGGGACCCAATGGCAGCTGTCACAGGCCAGGGAGGGGAGAGGAGGAGGAGAAGGCAGCATAAAAAAAGGATATCTATTCTCATCCATGGTGGCTGTGCTCCAGCCCCCTCACAGCAGTGCCATTACCAGCCCTTGCTCGGGCTCGCAGTGGGCTCCTCATGCCCCCATGTCCTGTTGGAGTGCCATGGAACGTTCGCCCCTCCATCCTTCCAGTGTTGCTGCAGTGATGTCACAGACTGCAGGCACCCAGCACAGTCCCCTTCCTGCCACTACTCCAACACCATCGTGAGCCTTTTCCTTCCAGCACAAAATATCTCCCAGGCTGTGCCCTCATCTGCCGTTTCCCACCCTCAGGATATCCCACACGCCGGCACGGGCCGAGGTGGGAGCTGTGTGAGGCCGAGTAGGCCTTTGCGGCCAGCGGGGCCAGCGTCCTCCTGGGGACTTTGGCCAACTTGTCCCAGGTGTCTCTGCTCTGCTGCGAGGTGACAAGCTGGTGAGGCAAGCGGTCACCACAACATCTTCCCCCAAAAAACCCAGGAGCACTGTGCTACCAACCCACTGCAGCAGCTTGAGGGAAACCCCTTCATTGGGCCTCAGGGAACCGGCCGGCTCCATGGTTCAGCGTGATGGTGGATGTTGGGGAATGGTGAGAAACCACCCAAAGGGCTGGAAGTCCACATAAAATGGCTGAGGCCAGCTGAAATGGCTGAGACCACCTGAAATGGCTGAGGCCACCCCAAATGGATGGAAGGCCATGTAAAATGGCTGTGAAGCCACTCCAAAGGGCTCTGAGGCCACCCCAAATGGCTGGGAGGCCATCCCATAGGACTGGAAAGCCACCCCAAAGGGCTGCAAGGCCATCCAAGCTCCCAGTTCCCTGCAGGGAACTGCTGCGTCCTCAAAACCATATTGTCCTCCTGGCAAGAGGATTTTGAGGAAGTTGCTCTCATGGCTGTCATGTGCCTCATGCCTTGAGGCACACCAGTATTAGCCTTCAAATAATTTAGACAACCTTTTGAAATCAGGCTGGACTTTTGTCCTTTCTTCATTTCCCTTTTCCCACTCACTTTACTGGGATTCTTCTCCAGGCAAGCTGCTTCAAAGTTGCCAGCTTCCATGTAGCTGTCAGCAAGCCTGAGTGAGACTCTAAATGTGACAGACCAAAGGCAGTTTGCCACAGGTTTTATGAAACTTGTGAAAGCCGAGGACAACAAGTTTTGTATTGGCATTCTGGAAAACATTCAGGTTTTGTCAGAGGATATATGAGGGAAAAATCTGTCAAGGAATTCCCTGTTACTCACACTTTTATGGACTGGAATAAACTATGGAATGATCAGCGTCTGAACATCAAGGTCTCCAATGCTGAAGTGCTTTAATGCTTGCTGAAATACTATCTTTGATATGATGGCCTAAATAAAAAGCAAGGGGGAAAGACAAAATGGAGTTGTTTAATTGATTTATTTCAGGAGAGTACAGAGCCTTCCATCAGTCAATCACCACTTCAAAAATAATTCAGGTCTGCAGTGACTGGAAATAATCTGCAGGAGTATTTTTTTCCTCTTTCTTCATGTGCTTTTCAAGTGCTTTACCAGTAACAGTCAAAATGTCAAAGCAGCACAATGCTTCAGGTGAGATAGTAAGCAAATTCTTAGTTTCATTTGTAATTTTAACTAAAATTACATTCACTTATGTAGCATCACACCAAATGAAACATTGATTTTAAGGAAGTTGGTAAGGTAGATTGGCAAAGATTGGGACATAGTATCTAGATTTCTTTTATAGCTACAGAAACCCTGTAAATTCAGCCTTCAGGCTTTGCTTGTGCATTTATCTCTGGATTCCTTATACAGGCACATGAACAAAAGGAAGATTAGGACACTGGAGGAATAAATTTCTAATAGCTAGTGCAGAAGATATATCAGGACTACCCAGGGATGTAGGCTGGGTGTTGCAGCATTAAAGAATAAAGTAATGCTACTCCCTCTCTCCCAGTATTTATTACAAAGGCCAAAGGAATGCATGGGATTTTGGTTTACTTTCAAACTGTGATAGTGATTACTTCCTAACCTTTATCACAAATTATTACAAATGCCTTTCATCCTTGCTGTTTTCTGTAAACATAACTTTTAATTAGAGTTTCAGCAGAAATAAATTTTAATTTCAATTTTAATTACACTTGGAAAAAGAAATGTGAAGATTTAAGAATTATTCTGACAAATATTAGATATTTTTAATGCAAGCATAAGATTTTGCTGCTGTTCATCAGAGCTGATGGGAATTGCAGTGCCACATGGGTTGAACAGACCCTTTAGTACAGACTCATCTGAAGAAGTAAATACTCATCTGTGGCTTCAGAGATTCACTGCTGACTGGCCATTGTTGTTTCCATTGCCTTGGTTTTAAAATGCCATCAAGAACTACTCATTTTTGTGGTTTCAAGGAGAAAAAGCATTGCGCAAAAATGGGCATCTTCAGGTTACTCTTTTGAAGGAAAATGAAGATTTTGCATACTTACTGCCCTCTGATTTGGGAAGTTCCTTTCTCTGTGTATCTGGATATGATAATTAATTTCCCAGAGAAACCAGTGTTGAATAGGGAGAAAGATGGAGCACAGAGAGCATTTTCTGTGCTCCCTTGGTTCTTCAGAGCTGCATTACCTATGGGTCATTCTCTTTTCACCCCACAGCTGCTGCTGAGATCCATCCAACACCAACCCACCAATCCTTCAGTGCCTGTGCTGCTGCTGGACACCATTCAATGAGCCAGCAGCTGTCTTTACATGGAATTTGGTTGAATATGCGATTATTTCTTTATTGGAAGCAAAAGTAATTTTATTAAAAATGTTATGCAACCCAGGGCTGCTATAATGAAGACGGCCTATCGGGAGTGTAGTTTATATCTGCAGTACCAAAAAAATAGAAGAAATCTTGGACATAGATTTAAGTGCTAAAAGACACATATATAACACTAGAAATTCTGGATTGGAGAAAGTCACTATTTTTACAAATATTAAACATGAACAAACAAGAGGAAATAATAAAGAACAATGAAAAAGACTAAACAGTTAAACAACTTTCAGTTCAAATATTTATTTCACTAGATCAATCCCTTATGAGATGCAAATATATGGCATTTTGCAGTGCACTTTTTGGTTCTGTAGAATTAAATTCTCTCTACTTTAAATTGATGTTTCTATATGACAAAACGGTAGCAAGGAGTGCAATAATAAAAAGCATTTAATATTGCAATATCAGTCTATCAGTCTACCTTTATGAACTTTTCATTTTCTTTCAATTTCCTTCCTCTGTAAAAGAGGGAATCTGTGAAACCAGAATCTGCAACAAAAGCTGCTGAGAAGGATGGAATTTCAGCAGAATAAATGTTCTGATCTGACTGAAAATGCTCACTCATTTTTTGCAGGTCTATGAAATCAATCTGGAAAAGATAATTACAAAAGAGACTTTGTCAAATTTCCCTCTACATTCTCCAGGATGGGCTTGGATTTTTTTTATTTTTTTTACATTCTTTTGGAAAGTGGAAACCTGGGAAAGAATAAACATTATGAGAAGAAACTGAAGGTGTACAACCCCATGGAAAACTTCAGGGAACTTTTATTTATACACTTTTGTAGCTCTGAATGTCTTTGAGACTTAGTTGCAACGGTTTGCTTTTTTGTCTATAAATGATTTTTTGTTGTTGCTTAGGGAATACATGCCAGCTTTCATTATCTTTATTCCTAAAATAGCCTCCTTTTCTCTCTAATGCTTTGAAAACCATTCACATTCTTATAGCTCCTTGTGAATCCCACTTTTTTTTTTCTCCAGTTCTCTGTATTTTAACAAAAGAAATGAAGGATTGGCACATATAATATATGTATATTTATATCTACAAAAAAACCAAAAATTCAAGTTGTCCAGCTGTATCAGGCAGCAGTTCTCCACTGCAGTCAGGAGTACAGCATACCTGGAATTGAAGCTCTGCCCTATTTATAATCATAACAATCTGCTGCTAAAGACTTGCTTTGTGCCTACAAAAAAACATTATCATCAGATATCTTTTGGTTCTTCTTATCTTGGGCTGCTCCTGAGCAGCCATGGTTCTTTGTCACAAGGAGAAGATCACCTACTCCAGAAGTTCAGAACACCTTTACAGAGAGGTGTCATTTTCTCTCAAAATAAAACAGGAATTTTGTTAAAACTCTGCTTTTCCATTTTCAGGCTTGCAGACTCATTGGAATCACCAAGTTGGTATAAACATACCTGAGCCAAATTGGCACAATTTTTTTATTTCTGATAATAATTTTGAATATGTCCTTAATTGTTGCTGTAAAGAAAATTACCATTTTTACTATGCCAGTAATATAAGAGTTTAGCTTGGACTTCATTGCCAGCTTACAGCTGCATTAAAACGAGAAGACACTTTGTATTTGGACTGAATATTTAATGTTCACATTATAAAGTTTGCTTCATGTTTTTCTAGTACTACAGCAGTTGGAAAACCTATCAAAATAAAACCAGTGAAACAAATGTAATGATTTCATTTTCAAATATATGTGTGGAATTAAAAGCTAATTTATTTTTTGTTTCAGAATAGATAGATAAATCTATAACAGGCAATAAAGACTCCAGTTATCTGTTGGCAGAAAGCAAAGTCTGTCAATATTCCTAGTCATTGGAAGAAATTCATGTTTTCCTCTTAACATTTTCCAAAAATTCTTTCTTTGCTTCATTTGTGAAATGGAAAAGACAATTTTTGTAAAACAAAACACCTTGCTCGTATATCTTCCTGCTTGTAGTCTGTCCTAAAATTTCCACTGTGTGTCTTACTCTCCATTCCTTTCCAAGCTGTGGGAAAGAAAGGAAAATATGATTTTAAAACAGAGGAAATAAAAATGAAGGAAATCCAAAGAACCTTCTGTCAAGTGTCTCTCTGTCAC